GTTTTATCGTCGTTGGTCGTCGTTACTTCCGTATACCTACATAAGTAAAAGTGAAACCAAACCACACGTAGGATATGATGCATAATCCACTACCTACATAAAAAGTATGTAAAAGACACAATGAAGATTTGTAAAACAGACCCTAAGTTCTACTTGGTAGCATAGAAACCGTGCCACTAGCATTTTTTTTTTCATTCTATTATTATACAACTTTTAAAAAATGTAACTAAATTGCCTTTTATACGATATGCCATACCAATTAATGAAATACTTGCATCACAAAATATTTGCCGATACGGAGCCGCGGAGGACTTAACGGGTTGCCGGAGCTCCGGTTACATGGGCAGGAGTAGGAACGGGGTGGTTTTTATTGAGCAAGGTCTGACACTCCCTCCCGCCTAATGAAGGCGGGAGAAGCCATTAGATGATTTTAACTTAAAAAACCAAAATGTCATAAAATATTTATCAAGAAATTATAAAGAAAAACCGCTAGTGGCTCTGATTTTTGGTCCCAAGTGTGTTTTGATGTTACTAAATTCCACTAATTTGGTCAGTGGTCTCAATCCCCGGTGAGCGTGGCTGGAGGAGCAGCAGAGTCTCCTCCGGAGGGGTTCCGACGAGCGGCGAGAGGATCCTTCTCAGCCATCCTGGATCTACTGACTGCCACCGCCAACTTGGAGATTCCACACCAGGTACCTAAGTTTTAATACTCCATCAAAGATACCGTGACGTCAGTAATAGTTATTGCTACAGGAGTGTCCTCTTCATCCGTTACACATACAAAACACACATACACACACACTCTTTCACAATATTGTGAACTTACCACCCATTCCCAGACTATTTTCAAAAATTCCATCCAAAGGTTGTCTGGACGAAATCGCCGCGTGTGATAAAACCGCCCATTGTACTCAAATTACTGTTACAATGTAAACATTTTTTTCTGTTTGTGCAAGAAATATGTAGTTACAATCATTCATATATCCATACATCCTTACAAGCTTTAGCATGTATAGTAAGTACACGTTTGATTGGAAAGTGTAATAGTATAGGACAGGATAAGATGGGACATATACAACTGCCACAGCTGTTAAAACAACTACACCATATTGTTGTAACTCACCAATTATGAATCAGTACGAGACCAACCTTCAGAGATCATTAATTTCCCAGGACTTTGTTACTGACCCAGCTGTCAGTAACAAACACGCATTCAAATACTTACTATAATCTTACCTACTTTGTTCTGGAATCCATTAATCTCTACTGACAATTGGATGGCTCTAAGTCAGTTTTTTAAAGAACTAAAGCCGTACTTTCTAAGTGTAATAAACACTTCTCTGAAAACGGCATCAAAATCGGTACAGCCAATCGCGAGATAATTGCGGTCAGACATACCTACATACAACATATACTTATATTCATACCTACAGGTCAAACTGAAAACATTGTTTCATTTTGAAGTCGGTTAAAAATGCATTAATGTCACACTCATTCATCAAACTCATCAAAATACACACTGACATCGTTGTGTTTCGAACAAAAAGTTATTCCATAACAAATTCTGTTTGTATAACATAGAGATTTGTACAAACTCTTCCATAACTCATAAAAGTTTTAACTGAACCAATGTTATTCCTTCGTAGTTCGTACTCACTTCCTGAAGCTTTACGAGGTTTTCCTATAGAGATAAAAGAAAACTTTACACTTTTCATAAAGATTCATACCAATTTATTGAATGTTAGGGAGAGGGCGAGAATAAATAAACAACACTCCATAAAATTTTTGCTGTGTTGTTGATCACTAATGTCTCAAGCACTACCTAAAGTAGGTACTACTATCTAAGATAAACGTTTCTCCTTGCGATTACTTATGTGGTTTTTAGGTAATGATAGTCTCTTTATAACTCTAATACATTACTTCGAAGCAGATGTACAAGTGTACTAAGAAATAATGCAGAAAGGAAAACGAGGGCAAAAGGGGCCGAAAGAGGTCACACGTATCTCTTAAAAACAGGATCATGGCAGAACGTCTTTTGGGTTCAATCTAGTAAATAAACTATTTTATTGGCAACACTCGTGTCCGAATGTTAATCGCCGAATATTATATGTATGTATTAACGCGCTGATGGCGGCAAATTCTACATAATACGAAATGACAAAAATAAACACCTAATGTTAACAAATTCTGGTCGTATCTTTATCTTACTCATAATTTTTGACCACTCCATTAAAGGCATTTACCTTATAATAAAAGGTGTGCGTTACCCAGGCAAAATGTTTTGCTTTAGAGAGATGAGACTTAAACAAATAATTAGTGTATCATGAGGAGCAATTTGTTTACTAATAGCAAAATTTGTTTGAATTGTAGTTTTTAAGTTATTTAAGAAAAACAAATTTTGCTGGAGTAACGTTTGAAACGTTACCCAGGCAAAATAGTCTTTCAAAAATTAGTTTCAGCACGGAACCAAATACATGAATAGATAGCTTTTGTTGCGTAGTAAATGTTTATAAATAGCAAAATTTGTGTGTGGTATAGTTCTTTAGTTATTTAAGATTTTGCTGCGGTAACGTTTTGGGATTTCCCAGATCTCGAAAACGGCTCAACGTAGAAGTTTGAAAAAAATACCAATAAAAGACCTCAATTTGTTTAAATTTGTTTAATCATTAGTTTTTGATTTGGTTGACGTAAACCAATGTAATTAAATGGTTTCAAAAATCAGAAGAAACGGGTTTGCAAGTAAACCAATACACTTATAACCAAATAAACAGCTGTAAAAAATACCCGTGGTTCGACGCTTGTTTACAGCAGACATTTTAGATTTCATACTTTACACATTAAGAAGATAAAAACAAATTTGATTTATTTTAGACTGGTCGTACTTTAGCGATCAAATACGCAGTTCCCATAACATTAAGAAACATGGCATACTTTAAACAAATTAAAATGATTCCTGAAAATTCCTTCCTGTTAATTGCAGCTTTGAATTACGGCTCTAATGAAAGTTATCTCAAAAACAAGATTATGTCAGCAATTCTCTAATGAGCCGACCAAATTGAAAAGGTCACATAAAAGCGACCGCACCATACATAAGCGCAACCATCTGAAATGAACAGGATAATATAGATGTTTTGTTAGTACAGTTGAATACAAAAGTTTTCTGGTCAGGTTAGTTAAAATAATAAAATGGTTAAGATTCATTATTTTTATTTAAAAAATCAGTCTCATACAAATTATATGTATTGCTTTGCCTTAGCATCAACATTTTTAGAGAAAAATCACAGATAAGTTATAACCTACTTACTTAATTTTAATATTTGGATACATTAATAGTTTGTACAATTTTCCTTAGGAGGTACTAATAACGTAGGTTGATAGGTGGACTCCATTTCACCTCGACTCACAGTATGGCATTTTAATTGGCATTAACTAGTAAAAATTGTGTAATATGGTACTGCACTTAAAAAATATTAAAAAATCGGCTTCACGAATAACGTTTTTCTGCTTAACTGTACAAAACATCGGTTACCAAGCTGCTAATTTGCGAAGATTACCCGTACGTACGGTGCAGTCGCTTTTACGTGACCTTTTCAATTTGGTCGGCTTATTAGAGAATTGCTGACATATTCTTGTTTTTGAGATAACTTTCATTAGAGCCGTAATTCAAGGCTGAAATTAACAGGAAAGAATTTTCATGAATCATTTTAATTTGTTTAAAGTATGCCATGTTTCTTAATGTTATGGGAACTGCGTATTCGATCGCTAAAGTACGACCAGTCTAAAATAAATCAAATTTGTTTTTATCTTCTTAACGTGTAAAGTATGAAATCTAAAATGTCTGCTGTAAACAAGCGTCGAACCACGGGTATTTTTTACAGCTGTTTATTTGGTTATAAGTGTATTGGTTTACATGTAAACCCGCTTCTTCTGATTTTTGAAACCATTTAATTACATTGGTTTACGTCAACCAAATCAAAAACTAATGATTAAACAAATTTAAACAAATTGAGGTCTTTTATTGGTATTTTTTTCAAACTTCTGCGTTGAGCCGTTTTCGAGATCTGGGAAATCCCAAAACGTTACCGCAGCAAAATCTTAAATAACTAAAGAACTATACCACACACAAATTTTGCTATTTATAAACATTTACTACTCAACAAAAGCTATCTATTCATGTATTTGGTTCCGTGCTGAAACTAATTTTTGAAAGACTATTTTGCCTGGGTAACGTTTCAAACGTTACTCCAGCAAAATTTGTTTTTCTTAAATAACTTAAAAATTACAATTCAAACAAATTTTGCTATTAGTAAACAAATTGCTCCTCATGATACACTAATTATTTGTTTAAGTCTCAACTCTCTAAAGCAAAACATTTTGCCTGGGTAACGCACACTAATAAAAGGGACGTTAATAAAGATCGGGAAATTGAATATTTTATAACGGCAAATATGTGAGCCGTTACCATAATATAGCCCAACATAACATAATGTGAACCAATATTATAATCATTAGATGTTTAAGAAAAATATGCCCAGAGCATCAGAACGCCCCCGGCGTATTACAACAAAGATCTCTTGTTTTCTTATCAAACTACCGACAGGAGGGTCTTTGCACGGAAAGTCCCGTAATAAAATATGGACTTTAGGTAGGCAGGTACTATTGGAATATATTTCTGTGACTTCCAGATATTTCGTGAGTGTTATCTAGTAGGTACCTACATATTCCGTTGTTATTGAAATGTTTTATGATTTAATTCCGCGTTGGAAGAAAATATTGGTCTACCTGGAAACTGGCTCATAGCGTAATTTTTCTCTATAAAATAGGTATTTTAATGCTATCTGTGAACATTTTAAATTTCTTTCTTCGAATTTTTAATTTACGATCTTTACTAGGTACTCTGAAAGATACATACATTTACATTATTTACCCACAATACCTATAAGGACAAAGGTGCACTCTTTTTTAACCTTTCACAACATTTATACTCTTATAGGCAAGTATCCACCTAAGTAAATAAAAATGCCCTTTACTTAGAACTAGTTACAGCTACACGCCTAACTATAGTTTCCTAGTACTCTACACGTCAAACAAGCTTGAAGTTCAATTCCCATTAACCGTGGTCTACCTTCACGTTCGTGTTCCCACAAATTATCGTGAATTTAAATTTGTTAACTTTGCTTTCCATCCGTGCGACACGTGAGCGTGCCAATTTCCTGGCATGATATCAATTTCCTGCTCTCCTAGTCGATTCAATTTCTCCATGCGTTGTTGCTACGTTATGTCGGCAGAATATCGTAGGTACTGTATGGATCCTGGACACAGCTTTTCAATTTATTTTCTAGAAAGCTTACGTGACTAGGTTGATTGGAAACCCTTGTCTGCCATTCATGTACACGGTTCGGTACCGAAAACCACTTTTTATTCTGTACAAGGCACAATTAAGCCTATAGGTAGGCACTTTCTGGTAGTTACCTACTTTTATCTACATTCGAGTTATGTGATAAATAAATTACATTAATTTGAGGACAGAACTGCACTCATAATGACCTCGTTTTGATCCTGAACGCCGCATTTAGATGGGGAAATGACAGATGGTGAACCTAGGCACTTAATGCAAATTGGTACGGTGGGTAAAGAGGTATAAATCAATACCCACGATTAGCCAATATATAGGTACCTAACTACCCAACTGCTCGAAACTTTAATTGTCTTCGATTCAAACACGCACCATTATTAAACCAGGCTGATTAATCATCCAGGCAGGGCAAACTGTTTTTAATTGAATGCTAGCTCGCATGGCTTCCCTCTTCGAAAGTGCTTGCTTTCCCCTCCACTCCTCTTTTCATAACATTATGAGGTTTAAGTGTATCTCCACAGGTTTGGAGGATGTTCAAGTGGGGTCGCCTATAAAAGTATTCAATTTGCGCACCGGCGAGGGTTGTTTCTAACTGAAGTTGACGCTCATAGTGACATTGCTCGACGAACAATGTATAATGTTTATCGTATTAGTTTCAATTCCTTTAAATAGAAATACTTATATACCTATCCTAGTACAGGCAGTAACTGTGTTTGAAAATTCTCGTATCTTGTAGGTACTTGAATAGCATTTTAACGGCATTAGAAAAAGAACATTCTAAGAAACCGCACTATAACCTAAGTACTAATTAACTGAATTAGTGAGCACGATCTAAATCAACTTTCACTAGAAACCAACCTAAATATACCTACTTGGAATAAACTTTACCGTTAGACCCTTGATCCCAAAAGACCGAGCAAAAAAATGCCCAACACTTGGTGTGCAAACTGTCACAAAATATTAAGCAAACATCTAATATTTGTCAACCCTAATCATAATCATGCCCTCCGGTCACCGACAACATTTGCGTACGTACTCGTGCTAACATTATCAATGTCGTGTCGGAGATAATTCCATTTCCCTTCGAGTTATAATCGATCTCGTTACGCCTTAGTGACCGAATTCAGATTAATACAATTACTAGATTGTGGAACTAAAGCTTTGTATAAGATTAGGTAGGTAGCTAAATAGCTACACAGACAGGTACGTATCGAGAAATTTAAACCAGAACCTAGGGCAAGTTCCAATGAAGCGGACATAAAATAGGACCTGCGTAAATTATGTGTGTAAACAAGTCGGTAATAAGCTAACCTACAACACGTTATTATTTATGTTGACTTTACGGTTAATTTGTCAATTTCAGGAACAGTCTGATGGCTCGCTGTCCCCCCGGGCCGATGACAAATCCAGAGGCCATTCACCCGCCCCGAGTGAAGGTAGGTAATGTACCAGTTGTATCACCCACCAAGTACCTAGGTAGATAAATGTCATAAATACATAACAAAATCGTGCCTTTTATTCCTCAAAGGAGTAGGCAGATGTGAATTGGTGTGCACAGCCCTGCACAGGGGATGAACCCTTCTCGTCCATAACTCGTCCACTGCTGGACTACATATTAGCAATTCCAAATCAGCAGTTTTAAAAAAATCTCATTTATGTAAGGGCTTTTTATACACATTTCGTGACGATGTCAATCCCATCGTGTTTTTACTTAATGTATTTACAACTTAAACATAACAACTTGTCTACTTGTCTAATATAAAAAAAATTAGCAGTTTACTTTGAAAAATGTTTTGCCCACCCGGAAGGAATTGAACTTGGAAAATTACGCAAAAGTTATTCGTTAGTAGTTATAATAGGTACCTATAATCTGAAAAATAAAATTGCAGGGGTGGAGCACGACAGTGAGAGGTGATGGTCGGCCAGTACACTGCTCGACCGGCTGGCGCAACGAGGCTTCGCAGCAGACACGAGGCTAGCACTACCTCCTACAGGTATCCGAGCTTCCTTTTTCTCCATAAAATCTTGTAATGTCCTTACTTACGTATTTCATCATTATGTAGTTCCGACCTCATTAGGTACATACGCGAATAATATTCCTCAAAAATTTTCAGTTTATACCAAGAGACCCAGCAGAATTATTTTGTTTTATATCTAAAAAATTAAAATGTCAAATTCCAGGGTGTGCCCGTTACCGCGAGCTTTGCTACCGCGCTGCGCACGCACATCTACCTGAGGATGTAGCCCCACGTCCTTGCGACTGCGTCAATTGCACTTCCAGACGTCATTCAGCCAACGCCCCATGAGATACGGCTCTTGTGGTCACCACCGCCGCTCTCACAAGACCCATACCCGCACTACCAAACGAACTTATTTTACGTAGACAATGAACTTCTTGCTGTAAGATCTACATTTATTCATCAAATCTATGACAACGCACTTGATCGTGTCTTGCAAGTGTGAGCTTACCAATCACGATCCAAGGACCAATTCCCCCCCTTCCTCTCAATTCCCTAACCTCCACAAGGCCGGCAACACACGTTTAATTAATTTGGTGTTGCAAGTATCCATGGGCGGCGCTGATGGCTTACCAGGTCTGCTCGTTTGCATTCCATTAAACAAAATGGACAATGTGGACTATTATGGTTTTTAAGTCCCGAAAATCTGTTGTGCTCATGTTTTACCATAATATTATATCGAGTGCTTGCTTATATTAGATTATAAGAATTTAATATTTACCAGTTGTATGTGGATCCGTTTTGCAGCAAAGACGGTAGCGGTGCTCGTGACCACTTGACACTTGTAATAGGAATAATAAATGTCGTTTAAATAATTTTGTGTCCAGTAAAATTATTGTCAATTTTTTCGATAGGTACGCAAATAATACATAAAATTTTAATTTTAATAGTTTGTAAGCCAGAAAATATTCAATTTTATTCGGTCGCAAATAAAATTGGTATTACCTAACGAGTGTTAACTTCACAGAATAGGTTAATTTTGCGTGGTCATTCAAATAACAAAAATATAAAAAGTAATTTGGCCTATTGTCTGCGCAATGCTTTAGAAATATAAGTTTAAGCTACTAATAAGTACCTACATTTCGAATGATCTCCATTTTAGAAATATTTGGTCAATTCCAATTAGCATTCGTTGTAAATATTCGCTTCTTTCCTAGTGCCTTACCCGGTCCGCTTATGAATGTTAATCCAACCACTAAGTAACCATATGGCACTTATAAAATCATGCATTTGTAGGATTATATTCCAAACATTTGAAAATAATGTGCACATCCAAAATCGCTTTTGTAATTAAGGAAATAATCGCCTCGTGAGCGTTAATGTAAAATTCAAAAGTAAATTATAATTACATTTTTACTTATTATGTACAATTTGTCTGTCCATTGGTGATAGGATTATTAAAATTACCCTAATTGTAAGCTTTAATAAAATAATGTGGAAATTAAATTTACACAATTTATTTAGACGATTCTCTACATAAGAATTTCCGTAATACTAATTTATTATAAAGAACACGTTTAATATAAAAATCTAAGCCAAAATATTAACTTAGGTGTAATGTGTAGGTGGCTATCATTATATCTATGGTCCAGAGTATTGAACTGCTAATCTATAATTATGTATAATTCATGTGTGCTAAAAGTATCATGACCTCTTAATTTTAGAGCCTAATATTAATATAAGATATATTATCTAGATGTAATTTCTATATTAAATCACCTGACCTAATGTAATACCTGTCCATTGGTGTAACTTCAAACGATTTATAATAATTATAATAATGTACATTAACTTCTATTTTATATTACATTGTTAATAATTATAAACATTAATTTTAATTACATACATTTTTAACTTCTGATCTATTTTCCATTGTACTTACCCAATGTCATTAAATTTTAATCGTACATTATTTAAATATTAACAAGGCCTACCTACGTCAGTTATAAAATGTAATTTAAAAAATTTGATTCAAAAATAAAAAATAAGATTATTATAAAAAACGTACCGTCTATTAATTTATATACCTGTATCGAGTTATCAAGAATTATAGCTAAACTGTTACAGAAGGAGGAAACAGACAGTCTTGTCAGAGAATTTAAATAAAACTTAAATTATATAGTATTTTTATTAAAGTTTAAGAACATACACGTTTTAAGAGAGAAAAGTACCGACAATTGGAAGTATTTCAGAGGCCAAACGGCGCGGATATTTCAAATTCCATCACAGCATCAGAAATTATGTTTTTCAAACATCCAAGACAATTACATTGCGATACATACATACTCGAGTGATTTTTGCAAAATTTTGTCATAAATGCCTCTTAAACAATAATACCTATTAGGTAGCAACATGATTTCTTTGAAGTCATTGAAAATTTTATAACCATTCCATATGGTTGACTACCCTATCTAACATCTAAAGTAAATATTACGAAAATATGTCAATTTTATATTGTAACAACGAGGAAATGAAACTCATTCGAACAATAACCGCGGTGGTATAAGTAATCATACTACAAAAGTGGTCCTCATTGGGATTAATTTAACAACTAGAGTGAAAAGGTACTTTTGTTAATATTTTTTTAAATAGTCACTATTTTTACAATGGTGGTAAAATCTATTTAGTTCCTTAAAATTATAGCTGAATGCCTAAATACGTCGAGTAAAATGTTAGAAAGATACATGTAATGTATAGAAGTCGGGACAGATACAATACTCTTACAATTTATTTACCTTTTATCCGAGACTAAGGCCAATGGATACGTTATATACTATAAAACATTAAAGAATCACAATTTGGAATCTATTGCATTATATAGTAAAATGTTCTAAACTCTTAGTATGATATTACAACTGGAATTTGTAGTTAAAAAAGGTCGATGGATCGACACACGCGTCCAATCAGTCCCACACTACACAAATATATCCAAAAGAAAAACTAATCTACTAACTTAATAATTCGGAAAATGTTCTAAAAGGGACGTCTCTTATCATTCATATCATCTAGTTATCGTCAAGTCCATGACGCTCGACATGACGATACTTCACGCTAATGTCGCGACATGCATGTCCATTAATACAAGTCAAAGAGATGCTTAAAGTCAAAAGTAAATTCCTCAAAAACTAAATCGATCTAGTAACAGGCGTCCCTAATAGACCGCTTCCAATAAAAACAATTTACAAACTCAATGATTGCGTTCGTAGAAAAAGAGATATAATAATATTTTACAAGTAAAATGTAAGACAATGTTTGTTAATAAACGGAGTCTCGCACGAGGTGGTCTGTTAGCCTAATTTGTATATTACATAAACTTATTAACTTTATATCATTTATACAGCTGCGTGTCACTTAGTTAATATTTATGTCCAAAGTGTGAGTTAATTAAAATTAAATCAGTCCGCACTATCTTATGACATCTAGTGACAGTGCGCTTACATACAATTGTATTATCTATGCGAGAAAAATAACTTTATAAACCTATCTATAATAAGATATACTATCGTACCGGAATGCAATATAAGGCCGCGTAGACTAACAAACATTGACAAGTGTTACCAGGCACTCCGAGCTGTAAAGAGGCCGCACAGCTCATTCGTTAACGTCGATAGGGGTGGTAGGAAGAAGCCGATGCAGTTCCGCCTGACGATGACCCATGGTAGCTGCGTTTCGATGACCGTTGATAGCCGTCTCCCGAGCCCCCCGTGTATTCATAGTCATCACCTAATGTTATAAAGTAGTGGTTAGTGTTGTAGTCAACCGGGTAAGTAATGTATCATAGCAACATTCTCAAGCATTAATATAATAAAATTGAACTTACCGCACCACGCACCATATTCCACACACCAGAGTTGAGTATGATTTATCATTCAACATAGGCTTTAGTATAGAGAGGCTTTATTGTGATCTTTTAGCATTTTGAGACATTTCATGCAACTGATAACTTATAAAGAACAAAAATGACCACACAACGACCTCTGTATCCTAACACCTATTTATTAATTTTACCTACGTTGTACCAGATTCAGATGCCTCCAAATATCAATTCTAATTATAGTATTAAATATTTTCTACACATTAATGGGTTCAACTGTGTCTGCAATATTTAAATAATGATCACCTTAATAATGTCTATACTTGTACCTACATGCCTGAGTACTAGGGCTACATAGTTAGTGGAAGATAGTCACGGGATAAGAAAGGTAAAAACCTGAGACAGACGCAGATATGTCGGACACATTGCAAAATGACGGCTGTGGCGACACCATACCTCCGCAATACATCATGGGGACCTGTAGGATACGCTGTTAATATTGCTTGAATAAATATACTCAATAGCTAAGTAGCTAGAAATGTATGAGTATAGTAAGACCAACAACTTAGAAATACTGGTTTTAATTTATTACATTCTATTGAGACAACCAAGTTTACGTCACACGGCACATTTGACTGATATACTTTCATACAGCGACGACACAGCCCATTTAAATATCTTAATACAACAATTATGTAATGATATTTACTATAAAAATTGCAATAAAGAATATTCTAGAAATTAATAAAATATAATACTTTCAACTTTTATGAATGTTTGTCTGTACAATATGCGCCATCTACCGAAGCTTGGTAGAACTACTGAGCAATCCACAACAGTAAAAAAACAAACAACTCAGTTCAATGCTCATTTCTTACGTCCCGGTATAGGTAATTAATATATCTGCAAAGTGCCGTATGATTCCGAGCCTAGTCATTCATGGTACGTAACTAATGGGTTTTAAGATATTTTGGACCCTATTGAGTTAGTAATAAGACTGCGTCTAGCAGTAGAATGATAGTAAGTTTTAGTAAATAGGGAGGTTCTGGACCTGAGGTGGAGTTCCTATGGCGTCGGACATCTGCGGTACGTTCATATACTTGGGACTGCCCGCGCTACTGCACACACCGTCGCCCTCTGCCGTACACAACTAGTCAGTTCATTTGTAGATGACGTACAATATTCCTACGATATTCTCAATACAATGACAGTAGCCAGATTTATTTAGAGACGCTGTGTGGTAAAAATAAAATAATTTCATTTGAGTATTATCAAGAAAATTTAGAAAAAAATATCTCGCCATTGTATTTCAAATATTAAATGATTAACGCTACACGACAGATAGAATATAGTATAGGAGGATAGGATAGATACATAGGTGCAATATATTACTGTATGTAGCTGTGTTATAGTGCAATAGAGTGTGTACATACATATGATATGACAGCAATATAACTAATGGAAACGGCAACGTGTTATGTTCATGTCTATCTATACTGCCGTTTGTGTAAGACTATTATGAATGTACTATTCATTAATGGGGTTCTCAACTAGTAATAAAAAAAAACAAAAACAAACAAAAACTATGTGTGAAAAGTGTACTTCACGGGGAGTAAAGGGTTGTGTTTCACCATTAAAACTGCCATTTTATTTTGAAATTTTTGATTTCTTTTAATTATCTACGTTTTATAATGTCCTTAAAGTAGATATATATTTCATCATAAGATATCTCAAATATTTGCAGTGGTAATATTAATATTTTATTAATCAACCAGTAGTTACTTAATCCATTAAGATAGAAGAAGCTTAATAATAGGAAACTACGACAAAAGTGTTTATTTCTTTCCATTACATTATAAACTACATACTTATGTTACCAGTTAAATCTAACACTAAATATATATACCCAAAATACCTAATATGAATAATGCATAATTTCTACTCCGAAAGACCTCAGTGTTATGTATGTGATAGCACTTATTACATCAATAAATCATCGCGTACAAGCTTCTCGTCTTACTTTAGTGCTTCGGTTAAAATTAATAATTAAAACCGTAATTAACTAATTATCATTAGGTAATCTTCGTAAAAAAGAAACAATAAGGACGCACGTGTAAAATCTATCATAATTTTCTTTTTTATACGAACATAAAGTAACTTATGTGGGACGCGCGAGACGACCAGTCGCCCGCGCGCCCCGCTAGGCTTCACCAAGATAGGGCTAAGTATATAGTAGATTACACATTACAAGATTACAACAAATCTAGATAATAGTCTTACAATTGTAACATGCTTAGTTTGTGGCTACTTCGCGTTCGCCGCTTCCGATTAATTACATTTTAGGAAATTAATACAAGTGTGTATAAATACAGCGCCGGCCCGTACTGGGCCGGGGTAAATTAAACTTATATAGGTACTGCTGTCAGTAAACATTACTTTAAATATTGTACATCAGTCGATAGTTCACCTAACAATTTTGTTTCTAATCGATCAAGGATTATGTACTTTTATTTACTATAAAGAAAATAATAGTTTAAAAAATAATCAACATCAATTTTTTTTTAATTAAAACAGAAATAAATAACAACTTGCCCTAGGTTTTATAATAATTAATGTTATAATTAACTGTAAAGCCCGTGAAATTTATCTGACTCGGGATCAATAATTACATTATATTAACTTCTAGTATAAATATGAGGTTTTATATTTAATAATACCTGCATTGTTTTTAAAATAAGTTTCGAAAAGACTACAGTTAAGTTGGACGATTTGGTCGTCCTCTGATATACATGTAAATGCAAATGAATTAATTTTAAAAAGACGAGTAAACAGTGAACTTAAAATGAGTCGACTGCTAATCTAACGTTTAACACTAGGGGTCTTGTATAATTAGTCAATTACGATCATAAATATATTAATGTAGACGAGCACGGCGCCGCCACGCGCCCGCCCGCGCGGCGCCGCCCTGCTCGCACCAACAGGGCTAACGTTACTTTTATCATTATACCAAAATACACTTTTACACAAAACATTGTTTCCTTTATATACTACTGAATAAACATACACATATAAAAACCGCGTACACTATAATATAAAGTAATACAAACAAGAGTCGAAAGGTTATCTACGCAACAGTACTACAGTTAAGCCATGATTAAAATATTAATTATTCCATAAACATTAAGATACAGCTGCATATCTTATACCGATATTACAGAGTGTAATATTAAAATGCAAGGGATGCACGTGTCGTCGCTCAGGGTGTGTATGCAAAGTATGTACCCAGCACTACGCGGTACAGTGGTACAGCGGGACACTGGTACAGTGGTACAGTGGTACAGTGGTACAATGGTACTCTGGTACAGTGGTACAGGCCGCGGGGAGTCGGGTGCGGAGCGACGCGCCCGCATGAACACCACATTTGACAGACGAGCCTCTAACGAGTCTTATCGTATTTGTATTTTGCTAACTATTTTAATTAATAAATTCATCCAATATTTTAATGCTCTTCTCCTATATAATAATAATTAAAACCCATATAAATAGTCTCAATTGATTTTTCACAATAATTTGCACTAAGTTTAATGTTGAGTAAATCTAAAATTTCTAATACATATTATACTTTATTTTAAATAAATTATTTCTTTATGTTAATAGAAGATTGCCACGTTGGTTCATTACAAACTAAGTTCTTAAATTGTTCCAAAGGTTTGTGAGTGCGGGGCCGAGCCCGTGTCTAAACACCTTAGTGCTAATTAATCGTTATCATCGAAAATAACATAATTATAAATCATCTCTATATTCACTTAACTTTTTGTAAGGCATCGTTTCCTAATATTAAAACAGATGTGAACAATTTCGTTCGTATCATCGGTGGATGTACATTAAACCTACAGTAAGTATAAAAACGTAATCGAAACAATGGAACATAATGGTATTATGCGAACTGAACATGTGCGGACCTGTGCGGCCGGGTTAGTGCCAACAAATGCAACTAGTACAAAGCGAGACGAGAGACAGTGACACCGAAACGAACGAACCACTACCTATGCCGAGAACGATAAAAATAACCAGGAATGAATCGAGACAAATTAACCTAACTAACATAGGAACGAAGAGTAAACGAAGCGGTACAAAGCGGCACATCTACACGTAACCTAATGGGCAGTCAGGCACCGACCTCGATTAGTTTATCTTATTATTTCATTATATTGTTATAAGGTACGAGTTTCACTTTCCTACATACTGATTGAGTCTCAGTCGAGTCTGTTATGTTATTATATGTATATTTTAAGAGCTATAAGAAATGTATGCGCGTTAACTATGAACATCACAATGTAAAAGGCTTCTTCACTATGTTTTACCGTTAAATTTGGGACATCGCACCCCTCGCCCCAGACCGCTAGTCACTTATAAAATTTGCTTACACCTCACAATATTCCTCAATAGATAAATTATACTTTACTTATGGAGCGATCTTAAATAACCCTATATTCTAAACGATCAAATTATGCATTCAATGTAATCATCAACAATTCGTCTATTTAAAACATTTATTAACAAATCTTATCGAGCGCGGCGCGGCGCGGCGCGGTTCTATTATTTAAAATTAAAGGAACAACTCCCGTGTTCGGGCGTCGGGCAGTCTATCAGTGACCGTAAACTCTAAGATAATTACAACAAATAATGGTCGGACGCGGCGCCATTGCGCTGGGCCGACGGCCGCGCGGCCACTGCCGTCCCCGCGATTAATTACTTAGCTTATCACTAAAATTTTAATCAGTCGATCGGTCAAACGATTGAGCGATATAGTACAGTAAAGGACTAACATTAAATTTAATCTAACAATGTTATTTTAAATTATAACTCACTTTGTAGCGGGGCGGGACGGCCGCGCGATCGGCGACCGCGTCGGGTACATATTATGATACGACTAACATAGCGGCCGTAGCGGCCGGCGAAAGCTCTATACAGTTTTAAAAATATTTGGCAATCACATAAATTAAAACTTTAAAACTATGTGACGAGAGAATCGATTAAAATTATGCTTTACACACAAGTAAGTATATATATGTACAAATGTATGGCGAGGGCGCGAGGGGTGCGCGCGCTGCCTGCGGCCGGGCGCGTCACGTACCGAACTATATCCTAAATGCTTGAGCTTCATTACTTAACACATACGACAATATCGTTTGCTCGTTAACAATTTGGCAGGTAAATTTAATTCATTAAAGTATAAATTCCATATAATAATAGTATCAACTTAAAAATTGCGATAAAAAACTAAAATGCATATAAGAAAACAAATTAAAATTACGAATATTTATACAGAATTGTTCCCTTCTCAAAAACGGGAATAATTAAAATATTAAAATCACGTCAGTCAACTATGTTTTGTTTAATATTAACACATAATTATCTCATTATATGCCTACCGTTTTCCTAAGTCTAGTGTGTGGTAAATAACCAAAATTCTAACATTAAACATACATACCGATATATATACCAAATATTTATACAAGTTATTAGCTTAAGTTAAGTTCTTTTAGGTCATTTCCCTAAATTGGCCTTGTTTAACAGTGTCTGTCAAATGTGCGTCACGCGATCGCGCGGCGGAGCGGGCGGCGGCGCGGCCCGGCTCCGCGCGGCCTTACTCCGTCCACGTACACGACATTATTAAAAGAAATCACTTTAGACAAACCGACAAAACTTACTAAAACATTCGAAATGTGTCAAGAAAAAATAAATCTTTCACAATAAAACCCACATCCAAATAGAATATTAAAAGCAAAGTTAATTAAAAAAGTGTGTACAGTGCAGTACACGCGCAAAAGACAGCATCGTTTAGCTATAGAAGAGGGGTCGCGAAAACTTCTGGGCGAGTGACAGAGTCGCGGTACACGTCGCCGCGTCGCCCGCGTGGCCAGTGCCTTAGCGAGTGTCTTAATATCATTCCTTCGTAGCGTTCAGAGACGGCCGAGTGCCAAAAGTTGCGAAGTGTTCAGTACCTTATTTAAATTAGTAGACAAGACTTTTAACACCTAATGGTTCTGAATGTTAATTTAAACTATTTTATATTTTAATTTTACTTATTAAATTAACGCTTAATTACGCGTGTGGGTTTGTGTTAATGTAGTCTTCGGTGACTTTATAAATTAACTATTATAACCGCCTTCTTGACTTTAGATACTCGCATGCATAAAATTTAAATGTATCCATTAACTTTATCAGTTACAATATAAATATTAATTTGTTGCATTGTATTCAATATTCTATTTTCACGTTAATATCGTTTTGTTCGTGAAATCCAAAACACATAATTACAAATCTATCACCTATTGGGAAGTTTCACAGAGGTATACGAAATATTCGCGTCAGTTTTATGGTAATATGTTAACAAATCGGTTAAACACTAACTATCCCTATTCTCTTTGTCGTTATAAGGTATATCGACTAAGTTAGAATCGATAGATGGAGTCGATCGAATACAACCGTTCGAGCACGCACTTGCATCGATCAAACGTCAAGCGGAATGGCCTACATCTACTATGACAAACACAATCAGTGTCTCACAAGCGCCAAATTACTAACACTACTTACAAGTGCGTACTAGAAGGTAGATCAACGTCTGAGTGTGCGTCTATCGCAGCGTAACAAACTACAGAACTCACTCTACCTACCTCTACGTACCTTTAGAAAAGAATAGTGTATTTATTAACGTGTGAGCGATACGACTGTAGTTAACCACACTGCGGTGGAGTGTGTGTGTGTGTGTGTGTGTGCCTACGCGGCGGGCCACTCCTTGTTAAACTCGTTGGCGTTGAAGTGTTTGGGAGCGTGGTGCGGGTGGTGCACACCTGGCGGCTGCGCGGCGGGCGCGGAGCCGTGGTACTCGGTGGCGGTGTAGCGCGACGCGGCGCCGCCGTACGACGAGCCCTACCAGTCGCGCAACGTTAGCGGCGGACGCATCGAGCTGAAGCCTAAGCGTGTTCCGCTACAGCGCATCTCCTACGTGCTCTACGACGTATAAAAATATAGCTCTCTCGAGTCTACACTCGGCCGAGCTTCGGCTGCGATGCGTCCTTTAACCGTCATGGAGCATAAAATGAGGAAACTCATGATTATACATATTATACTAGATGAACGATTTATTTCATTAAAATAATGTGGCCGCATTCGTAAATGCTCCATGACATTTTTGAATAACATAATTTTGTAAATAATGTACTCTGGTTACATTTAACAGAATAGACGAATTCTCATCTCTGAACACTTAAAGTACAGCTCTTAATATTATTTTTATCGATAAAATTAACTATTAATGAACCTGTAACAATATGAGAAAATCCAAATTTTACTAATTTGTACTTTAAATGCCAATTTACAAGTGTTGAGATGAAACAAGGCGATTGAATCATCTCGCACGGCTACAAATGCAATATTATATATGATTATCGAACGGAACTAAGGGTAAGCTTATAATCTAGTGCTGTGCGATGCCTTTATGATGAGCGCGCGATATCGTCGCAACAACCGACCGTCCATAGTGAGAAATCCCCAGTGTTTCGCGACATTCCCTCATCCGATACCCGCCCTTATCTCTAATTGTCTTTCTGGAGGAGCCACTCTTGTGGGCCCTGATCGACCAACTGGAAAAGAAGAACAAGACAATAAAGTCCCACTCGCCACAATGTAACTGGATCTTTAGCAGGTTTTATGTAAGTAGCGCAGCGCGTGAAGATGGACCGGGCGAAAGCGTGTGACTATCCCCAAGGGCGAGATGAAAGTTTAGGCGAAAGGAGGACGGGAACGGAGGAGAGGCGGGACAGAGGGACCGTGGAGGTCGGTGATGAGAGACCTTCAGCGAAACTCGATAACAACACTAATCTTCTTGATTTTTCACTATGGATAGCGGTGCGACTGTCAACTATGGCCACGGGAGGCAGCCCTGAACAGCGCCGCGTCTACCATTTCTCTTATGTACCGCAGCATAGCTCGTAAAATCAAAAAGACATCGCACATTAATCTCGCCACTGAAAACATGCAGATAAGTGGGCTTCGTCGTCGCCGCGTATGACATTATCGTGATATAAACAAGCATTTCGAACACAGCACACGGATGCAGGGGTGGCATACTAATGGCTCTATACTATCAACTCATGCTGCTTTTAGCCGCGACTCCTTTGTTCGCGTTCGTGAACCAAAGTTTTCGCTGAATATCACTCGCTCACCACTACGTACAGCCACTCCCATTCATTCTTATATCGCAAACAACTTTGTTGCAAGTACAACCAAATTGAACTATGCAAAGTACGGAGTTCCTTAGGCATTCACACAGCACACACACACACTTCCAGCATTCTGTATTGACACTAGATATAATAATGTCGGAAAGTCATTCATGCTAACGGGCACAACGTTACCACGCCATACTAATACAAAGGTAGATGCAGGATACAAATCAAAGAGTAAAGCGAAGGAACATGGAGTGTGGAAAGGAAGGATGCAAGCCCCGAGGTGATGAGCAAATAATATTAATTATACGATGGTCAACTTGGCTGTACTTTTGTGTAACTACCGTCCGCAGCTATCAATAAAGCTACAGGCGACAAACATCGACACAAAACCGTACCTTGGAAGTTGGAAACTTTTCAAACCACTGAGGTTTGCATCCAAGATATGGTTCAAATATTGTTTGCGATTTCGACATTGGATGATGGAATGCGACAAATAAGCAAACAAAAAGTCATCCAATATCTTGTACCACACAGTACGGGTCGCCGAGGCCATTCATGTAGAGTGGCGTCGTCGGTCGCCGCTACATCTCAATCGGGCTCGTATTGTAAACTATTTCATGCGACCCACTGACACAGCTACCATTGCTAGTAGTAATTTACTTCGCTCTGTTTTCGCGATTAACTGTTATTGTTACAATCAAAACTATTGAGAATCTTCAATACAGAGTTCCCAAGCCTCGACTATAATTGGCATTTGTTTCCTTTTTTGCCACGTCGATGAAATATGTGAAGCAAAAGTTGCTACATAAGCGAAACTATGATCAAACTCACATAAAACAAGCCAATACAATTTTTTTTCTGTAGTAAACGGCGCTGTGTCAATGTGGGCACGGGTTATATTTGATTTGGCAAAAGCATGAACCGAGATCGAAAAACACATTTTTATTACAGTTTATATACTACATGTACTCATTTTAAAAATGATTCTATAGCAAACAACACAATCCCTTTTAATATGGGTTCCGGAGTCTAATAAAGCATAAAAATGTATTTCTTTACCTCCAAATGCAAAACTTCACCCAAAATGGCAATAATGTATTAGCAGTTACCATACCATCACCGGAGCAATAGCCTAAAATTCTAAATGATGCATGCTGGGTAAAACGCAAAAAGGCACGAATAATGATCGAAGAAGTGTTTATAAAAACAATGCTACGCCAGAAGCATTCGCATTTATCTCCTGGCTTAGTAGATAAGTCGTTATATGCCCGGTCAATGACCGCATTTCACCGAATAATCGAATTATTGGCGTTGTTTGGCGACTCTTGGATTATAAACACACCTTTATCATGTATTATTATTATATGGGAAAGCCGAATCAGAACTGAAATATTTGGAATAATCTTAACACTGCCTCGATAAGTGCCACTCAGACCTTATATTCCAATTAGAACAAGTATACAGTAGGTTCCATCAAGTTACACATTTGGTTGATAATATTTCGCATAATTGCTTCCATAAACCAGTATAATTCGGCTGTGATTCGGTACAAATTAAAATTTCTTTAAGTAACAAAACTAAATGGGCTAAGCAAATGAGATACTGGCTTCTAGGATCAAGAATTTCAAACATTTTATTACAAAATCATTAAAAATATAATCACTTTTACATTCATGTCCTAGTTGTAAAAGAATTTCATAAAATAAATTAGTCAAAGGCCCTGATTGGCTCGTAGCTATTATATATTTGGAAGATCTTAGTTTACCGGTTTTAACGGTACTCTCGCCAGTATCGCAAGTACGTAAGCGGATAATTTTGTTTAACAATTTTTGATGGGTAAGAGAGTCGAGCGTGGTCGATATTATGTTAATCACAAATGGAATGGCTGTAGTAAATTTTATTTAAAGTTATATATATTTTGTTACGAGATCTTATCGAGTGAGATATGCGAGACGGCGAGTAGTATCGAAGCACGCTCCCTCTAGTAATAACTAGGTGTATGTCGGGTCTAGGTCTATGTCTATTCTATTCGGCGTGTTGTGTGAGGTATTGTTGCGCGTGTACCTGGTCCTGCTGGTAGGCGGGCGGGTACTGCTGGTACGTGGAGTAGTCCGCGGACGACGACTTGGACAGCGCCGCCGACGACAGCGCGCCCGTCAGCGCGGGCCCGCCGGCGCCGCCGCCACCGCCGCCGCCGCGACCGTACATCTCGCCGCCCTCAGACAGCGGCACGTACGACCCTGTACGGTACAAGTCTAGCATTACACAACTGCCTACCACACCAGCGAACGATCGTTGCCCCTGCTAGGACTCGGACCTGTTAAGTGATAGTACAAAACTATAAATTGCTAAATGTATGTATGGATATCAAAACACTACTCAAACCTTAATATAGAACCTTTGTGTGAGCATGTCCAGTTTCCTTTACCGCTTTGGACCAGCTGTGACAATACTAAACTACGTGCGTATTTCTAAATCTACTACATAATTGGAACTACATAATGAATGCATAGATTGTTAAATCGGACTTGAAGTAGTGTTCAAGATCCGGTACTCACCGGAGCCGGTAGAATTGGAGTTCTGTGGCATGTTCCAGTTGGTCCAGCTGCCGCCGGCCGACGCGCCCGCCGGCGCAGAGCTGTAGTTAGCTGTACACACCAATAACATCACATTAATACCAGGAACTGGCACCTGACTGACTACAGGCGGAGGTGTGGGTGGCGGGACTTTAAGGCCTATAGTGGACTGCGATAGGCTCTTTCAATCGACAAGTTTAGTATCGTTTTCTTGGTAAACAAGTCGATTTTCTGATTCTTTGTATGTTTTTGAATGAATTTATCTCTATGGAAGACAGCTTGTTGCTTGTATGCAACGCCTTTTGTTGTCTTCTTTTAATTATAGCCAGTTTATATTTCTTGTGATTGGTTAATATTGTTGCAAACTTTGTAGACTTTCTTATTCACAGGAACAAGAAGTATATGCAATTTGCATGTTATTGTCCCACAAACATCTGAACGTACCATCAGTAATGTACTTAAAGGCACTGCCTGGATGTGGATATTCTTCATATTGAGTGCTGGTCGTGATTTTTTAGTTTATTATTCGGGGGAATTGTCACCTATCCTCCATTAGACATGCGAATTTGTCTATAACAAACTGATTACGTTAGAGGTGTGTACTGACCATAGCTGCTGTAGCTCTGCGCAGGCGTTTGCGTGTACTTATGTTTAAGGTTCATACTTCCGTTTTATTACAATCGTCGACCAATCGCAGCCCACACAGTGGGCCTGGGTCTGTGCTGCTGCCCGGAGATAGCTATACTCGGCATTATAGATAATAATAACAAACAACTACACATAAATTAGTCCTAATAAAATAAGTGTTAAGAGAATGTAATCGGCTGGTGTAGGGCAGACTGCCGTGGCTCGGTGTCGGTGTCGGCTGGGCTAGAGAGTGCGAGGTAGAGCATGCGGTACGTACCGTAGCTGCCGTACCCCTGCGCGGGCGGCTGCGTGTGCTGCGTGTAGTTGTTGGTGGCGGGCCAGGCGGGCGCGTGCGGCGGGGCCTGCGGGGCCGGCGGCGCGCCCCAGCCCTGGTAGTTGCCCGGGCCCGCGCCTGCACCCGCCGCGCCGTATCCCGCATACGAAGCGTTACCCGCGGATGTACCCCAGCCTTGGTACCTGCGCAATCGTCCACACATTAACATCTGGTTTCTTTATTTAACTGCGTCCATATTTATCTCCTAAGAGCAATTGAAATCTTAATCCATACAAAATATGAAATCATTGATTTCGAACAAAGCAATTACACAAGAAATAGTCTAGAATCACAGAGGGTCAATTTGAATAAGCCTTTGAAATAATACATAAGATATAAAAAGGAACTAGTTCTGACCCCTGCATGATGTTGGGGCCAGCCATAGGCATGTTGATGGGTGGGCCACCCATCTGGCCGTTATGGCCCTGGATCATGTTGATGGGCGCGGCGGCCGGTGGGCCCCACTGCCCAGCTTGGGGCGCATCGCCAGGCGCACTCAGGGCTCCACCGCCCATTCCACTTGCACCGGAACCCAGCTTGCCAGACCCATCACGTGGCTCGGCGCGCTTGATCTCCACCTGCGTACATATACAACTCTTCCGTTAACCAAATACATTTCCAATTTGATTTAGCAAAATTCTGTATCATTCGAAACGTTAACAGTTAGTTGTATATTTATTTGCCCATGACCTAAATATGTGTAGAGTGACCTTGCGAAACCAATCTAAAGATTACATTTGTGTCATTTTACAATGATCAGTAATATTACTATGTTCAAAAGAAAACGCAAATGTAATGTAAAATGCAAGCAATAAGTTAGACGTCTTAAATTCCAGCAGTCATTCACCCGTACAAGATAAAACATGCGTCACACGTACGTTATTATATGATGTCACATATAGAAATAACTACTGTTGCTACGTAAGAGTTGAGAGTCAATATAGTTTACCTGTTATACTATTATTAAGAACTTTGTAGCAAATATTTTACTGTTCAACATACCTACACCTATTCGGTAAGTAATAAACCCATTCCAGTGCAAACTCTCTTGTCGTGTTCAAGTATGTTTTCCAAAACAACGAAACCCCAAAGGTTAATCCAATTAATTTAATAAATTTTACTACAAACCATAAAAACCTAAACAAGACGTATTTCAAAAAATAACTTTTGTTATGATTCCCGATCTCCACAAATCCCAGTGATAGTTTGTTTCACGAACATTGCTACGAAAATATTTGGCAAACAACTGATGTTTTCAAAGAACGTATAAAAATAGTTAAATTACCTGTTTTCCATTGAGATTGATGAAATGCTCTTGAGTGACTCTCTCAACCGAAATCTCGTCCTCGAAAGACAGGAATCCAAAGCCTAGAACAACCGATGTCGTATTCATATTTTGAAAAGATATCAAAGTTGGGAAACACCAAAAACACATTGACTAAAACACATACATGTTTATATGCATAGATAAATAATATAATATGTAACGAAGAAACATCAAGTTACAGCCTAGCTAGCGTAATATAGCGGTGAATAGCTCTCCATGTTTATGTAAGGAATGTTATTTTGTCAACGTTTTCATAACAGCGATGTACCACCCGTTCCTTTCTTTCCTCGTTTATTAAAGCAATTTTCTCGTAATGAAGCGAACTAATAAAAAATGTGGTCGGCCCAGTGATGTCCACAACCCTCAGTTCGCAACCGGTCTACAAATTACACAAGTCGTAAATTATTTGATAAAGTCGCCCCGAAGGGTGACACCTTTCACTGAGCTCACGATTGAGGTCGTATCATTTCGATTGCGTTAACCCTAGATCGTGTTACTATTCGGAAAGTGAAACGCTTTTTCTTTGGCAAAATCTATACTTCAATTAGTCTGCTTACAAATCGCGTTATGGTATTTAAAAGTGTGTGTGTTGAGACTCAGTGTATTCGAGTAAGCTGCATGTTTGACCTATCAAGAGTATTGAAAACAGACGTAAATGGTAACCTGTCGCAAACCTTGTAGACTCCCTTGCCCATAGGAACAAAGAGTATATGCTAATTTGCGTGTTAATCTCCCACGAACACTTGAACGCACCGACAGTAGTAACTAACGGCGCTGCCTGGATGTGGGATACTAAATATTACATACTAGTTTTTAAATACATATACATATTGTATAGAAACCCGTTGTTCTGTAAGCAGGAGAATAAATTGTAAAATATTTTGTCAAACACAACATTAAATGCTATCAATACAATAGACTAGTATAAAATACACATTATTCAAATCACTATTAAATTAATATAATTTAAGACATCTAGTCAGTCTGTATTTTTATCATGTGACAAGTAATGATGACTGTCATTGGAAGTTAGTGCGATAAAGTATTATGTTTTATTTTAAACTAGGTTTTCATCAAACTTCCCTCATAATGCGGCCCTCGAGACTTGGCAATGCCATTATCATTTTGGCCTCCAAACATTAATAAAATTAACTGATTTGCATAATGTGGTTTACCGGCGTTATGCACGCACGTCCTCTCACCTCGACAGCAAGCTGCGATGAACAAGCAATACATGAAACTCTTCTGTCCCAACATTTACATCTATGTAGAAGATTCAAGGTGATGTAAGGAGACACTTACCTCTGGATTTCTTCTTTTCTTGATCGTACATGATGACCACTTCCATGACCTTGCCATAGCGGCCGAAGAACACCCGAAGATCGGTCTCGGTGACATTGGATGGAAGTCCTCCCAAGAAGACCTTGGGGTAACCGCCACCGCGCTTCGGTTTCTGAAGCGTGCGAGGATTGCACGGCTTCGGATCGATGGTTCTGGTAAACATTCAAATATCTTAAAACCTGTCTACATTTGGAAATAATCAAAATAGCTTCCAGATAGCCGCCATCTTGTCATCAAATTTATTCCATGGCGGCCGTTTTGTGACACGACATGTACTAAGTACTTGTTGTATTTCTTTTCAATCGAGGTGGTTCTCAATTCGACTGTATTTTTACTTCCTACGTTTTTATCTAAGTTGTTTCATTACTTCGCATATTCTACATTTATGAATTGAATATGAGTATTTTCCCGTAGCAAAAAATATTTATTTATGTTTAATAAACTAAAGTGATAAGTATTGAGGTCCACACTTTTTATCGGTTCCAAGAAGGAGACTACTTGTACAAAATCTAGACACACATAACCTGTATTAAAGAGCGTTATAACGACTGTAATGTCTTTTCTATCTTTATTTTATTTCAGTATTCCTTATCTTCCTACATGACTAAATATTCCCTAAATGAAGTTTTCCTTCAAGTCATAAAATAACCATTATGATCTCCGAAAATCCGAAGGATTTTTTAAAAAAATATAGTATTTTTTCAAGACGACCTATTCTTTGAACAGAATCCCTTCGCTATAATTTTACGAGACACCGAGTATTGGATGGCCAGTAATTCCTTTATCCGGGGATCACGAGGCTTTGCTTAGGATGAAATCCAGGAGCGCATTTGTAACAACACGCCAAGCGAATTACGGGTGTGGCCGCGTTTGACCTGTGAACACGTGTAGCGGTAGGGGTGCGGGATATGTATTCTTAGAATCTAAGGATAGTTTTAAATATGTCCGTATAACGGTTATGAATAAAATAAAACGATGGTGCATCGACTAAAATTCCTATTATTGTAAGTAACCCCGATTTCAAATACATAAAAGTCAATGTCGTTGGCAACTGTTGAATGTATAATTTATTTAATGCAGTTGATTAGTGATTGACAACTCTTGGAAAATATCTATGGAATTTCAAACAACACAATAAAATAACAATTACCATTTTATAATGTTGCGAAATAAATGGAAATTCCCCATTATGTAAGTTATTTTTGTAGTACAGCGAATGTGACTTTGGAATTCAGATCAAATCAATGAGCGATACTTGATTGTATCTGTGCGAGTTTGTTGCATTGAAGTCATGCGGTATCGTTATTGTATGCAGGGTACCGCTTCTTTGTAGTGCCAATTGAATCCTATCCGTCTTCGTTTCCCAGTCAACCCGCTTAAGTGGTTGTGCTAGATTCATGTATTCTTCGTGTATTTGCATATTTGAAATACATCGTTTATGCAGTTAATTCTATTTTTGGTTTTAAAACTTGATGTTCTCGTTGTGTTGAATAATTTTAAGTTTATTACCCTCTGCTGGATACGACGCCTAATATTTAATCAGATGTGAAAACTTTTAATTAAGATACGAACAATATGTGGAATGTAATTTTATTTATGATAGTTACGCATTCTTTTCAAGTAAATTTTGCAGTGTTAAACTAAGAGTAACAATAGTTTAATTTGTACAGAACAATAATTACACTTCAATATGTCAAAATAAGCTATAAAAACTTAGTTCCGCTTCTATATCTATATGTATATTAAACACGTATTTTTTCATTACGAAACTGAACCGTGAGTTTACAGTTTGCGAGTTATAACTCTAGTTTGTATTACTTATGCAAACCATTTCTACTTTGATTTATTCATCTGGCTCTCTCCGCCCAATCTTGTCTGGGACTGCGCGAACTTTAGATTATAAACATGAAATAACTAATGAATGGATAAATACTAATTGTAAAGAAGCTCAAAATATTTATTTAAGTACTCGGTTATAAACTTCGTTATCGAAGTCCAAAGCGTTTCCTCTACCTTTCTTTGTATCGGTATCAGTAAAAAGAGAATGAACTTATTGTAGTGCTTTCTCAGCACCGATGCCGTTATCTATGCAGTTCATACTAATCTGAGTGTTAATGAAGGCAAAATATTTTGTCGCAAACGTTGTAGACTTCTTATTCACAAGAACAAGAAGCATAGGTTGACGATTTGCATGTTATTGTCCCACAAACATCTGAACGTACCAATCAGTAGTGTACTTGAAGGCACTGCCTGGATGTGGATACTTCACAAAAATTCCTTAGATTGATCTAAAAGACTCGCTAAAGATTCAGACGTTATTTGCAATTTGTACTAGAATTCAATCACCCTCCGCTTGAGTTCTCAATACCCCAAAATTGTAAAGCAAAGTTTTAGTTTGAAAATGTATTTAATAACAATTCGCCAAAGTATTTTCATTAAAATAGTTTGGGAAATTAACATTTTATGTTGGAGTAGCGTAACATTAAAATTATACTTTACATTTTTGTGATAGAACTATGAATAATGCATCGACTTTTGTCGGTTGTAAACCATACATAAGTAATTTAAATTCACAATTTCACGTTTTGTTTTTCCGTGGAACAAGATTTTCCTATTCTATAATTAATGCAATAAGGACAACGTATTCGCAGAAAATGTTAACTCTAGGTATTTGCTTTGTGGACTTAATCGTTGTTTTTTAGTTCCTTGGACCTTGAAAGTTCATAAATACGAAAAGTAATGTAGATCTCCAACACGCAACAGCGTGCAACACGGGCTTGTATGAAATATCTACAATTAATTACCTACTCTGAGAACAATCATGATTGGGCAACTTATTTCTTAGCGTAGCAAAATCGCCTTAATAAGGAAATTATCTTCTGACAGTTAGATCTGTGAAAGCACGTACACCATGACCGAAGAAAATCCACAGAATCGACAATATTTGAAATGAAACCAGCTATTTTAATATTTAACACGTGAAATTATTAAAATATTTATTTAAAGTATGCTTATAACATGACAAATAAGTTTATTATACGGCTCAAGTTCAAAGTCCAGCAGCTGTACGCTGTATCACGACACAGTAAATCAACAAGGCCTTTCAAAAACGGTGATATTTTCTAAATAATTTCCTTAATGATGCATAAGCATGATGCGAAACGACCTCATAAAGCTATAATAGCTTTATGAGCAACTAACTTTGACCGACAATATTTCGAATCTCACTTTTTTATCATTTGGTTAATTACCTAAAACAAAATTTAGTGACGAACATGGATACTGTTTGACTTTTTTATTTGTAGGCCGCTACGACATAGCCTTAAAACCAAAGCTGAAATAAAATTAAAAATGTATACGTTGACAGGTGAACCGGAGTTGTTTGAGTAAGGCCATACAAACAGTTTATTTCTGTTTCAAGAATTAGGTCACAATTATTTGCAGATGCAACATTGTCTTTTTAGAAAGATTTCACGCGGATATTACTGTGATAGATGTCTATAACATGAGAATCTGTCGGGTCATGACATGATTTATTATTGCGCCCGCGATCGGGGTCAATACAATATACATATTATTATTTATATATATATTCAGGAAAATCTTTCTATAATTCTTCTGGAAATATGAAAAATATTTTATGTGCATACCTAAAAAACCGGTGGTATTGAGAATTTTATTACGCCAAGATAACAGTCAATGGAAAAGTAGAAACTGTGTAACAAAAGCTTACCCGTGGTAAATTGATGCTATTCACACAAGTAACGGTATGTTCATGTGTCTCGTAATACTAATAGGCTTAACCTAATCTTCAAACAAGACTGTTGAAGCTCGATATTCTTTAATGTTTTTATTGGAACACGATTTTAACGTTTGAAGAGTGAATGTAGAAATCTCTTACAAACACATTCCTATTCATGACATCATTTTCCATAGCTATACATTCATCTATTTCGTAGCGTAGGTCAATTCCACGTAGTCTGAGAAGTATAAACAGCTGATTTATGCTTTATCAAGTATTCCTTACCTGCCGTCAAGTTGATGAGGCCCATTTTGCAGCACTACGTTGACCAGTGCTGGCTCAGCGAAGGTGACGAAGCCGAATCCCCTGGATCGGCCAGATTCGCTGTTCTTCATTACTACGCAGTCGATCACATCGCCGTAACGGGAGAAGTATCGTTGTAAATTCTCTTGAGATGTCTCCCAAGAAAGACCCCCGACGAACAGTTTTCTGGGTCAAAAGGATGCAATACAGATATTTTATAGAACTAAAAAAGTAAGTTTGGGATTTATTAGATTGGCTTGTCCACTAACTGCCACATGTATTAATTTAGACACAAGGAAATCATAGGAGCAGATTTTAATAAGTTTCCTTGTTGACGCATCGCCACGTGGTCGTTTTGCGTTATTACAACGACACATTATTGTACCGCGTTTTACAATCAAGACCTTTTTTAAATGTTGTCTATTGAAGACTATATTCGCTTGGTGGCCCTATTGACTTGCAGGAAAGTTAGGATCATTTAAAATTGATATCTTCTGATTACTAGGTAAAAGGTCCAGCTGAAAGCTTTCTCAAAAATTATTACGGATCGCAAGAAAATAACATGGAAGCTGGAATTAAACCAAAGCATTGCGAAAGTGACTTTAGCAATGAATTTTAATGACCTTCAAGTCCTTGACAACGCGGATTCGGTCCGGCTGTGGAAACTGTTACGAACACATTCGGGAGAAGGCTTTTTAGGCATTAAGAATTATGAATGAAGTACATTAAAATGTCCCTTTGTTGACTTTTGAATATTTTACCAGAAATAATCCCTTTACTTTAGAAGTTTGATAATAAATCAGTTCTTTCGAGACTTGTATAAAAAACAAAATGGTTGGCAGTGGAACCAAAGGCTAAAATCTGTGTAAGCAGTGAGGTGCCTCAAAGCACATGTAGTTTTCAGAAAATATTGATTCAGATAATGCATTCAGAATATTTCATCCTGCCATCTCAGTTTGTATTATTTAGGTACTGATCTATAGGTCAGAAAATATCTATGGTAAACAATTATGCCATAGTGTGTCATGATGTCATCACATTATTGTTATTTATAAAATTCTTATCTTTACAAGTCTATTATCTTAACAAAATTAAATATGCTTGCAAAAATGTTTTTTTATTTTATTTCATGTGTTTTATTTCAATTTCAAACCATCACATTGACAACCTGTCTCCTGAACTAAGTAACACCTGTACCTTAGGACACAGTGACTAGTCATTATTTTTTATAACAAGTGTCAGGATTATAAAACAAACAGGTTAAAAACCACGCACTTCTAGGTTCTCAAAGAACAAAACTTTAATTACAAATTTTTACTAGATATTTTGATAACAATAAATTACATTGCAATAAAATAGGAGAAAATAGTTGTTTTCAAACTAATTTTATATATCAATTTCAAAGCTGCTTACCTGTCACTGCAATCGCGTTCATTCATGTTCAGTAATTGACAAAAACTCCGATATAAAAGTATGACACAACTGATTGAATTTTAGCAATCTAAATTTTATGTTTCAACGGTCAGTTACTAACTATAATAAATGGCCTAAAAACACATGTTAGTACTACACTCTGTTGCTATCTACATTAAATTGATACTAAATGTCATTTAGTAAATGATAAGGACCGGTTTAGTACTTAAGTCCACAATTGTTTTTAATGATGCAAATGGTAAACTATTCATTAAGAATGTACATTTATGTGTAATGGATACTGTGTTTGTAAAGTTCACTAGGGTAAAATACTTGGATTGAACTATATTCAAGGTTCTTTGTATCAGAAATTATTGCGAATGATGACTCAACTTGTGATTTTTTTTGTGCAAAAATATACCCAAAAATAGTTACTCGTGATGTAAGCATGCTAAAGTGAAATTATATCAGCAAAAGCATCTTACTAAATGAACATGTGTACTAAACTTGAAACTAAAAAGCATGTGCTCATGCTAAAACAACACATGTGCTTATCTTTCTGTGCTAAGCTAACCCGAACAACTCAGTAAAACTCAGAAGTCAATGTGGCCTTATTGATAGATAACTGACAAAATGAGTCACAATCTACATAAAATTCTACACTAAATATTAAATAAATAAGTATGGTACTTTTAATCAGTAATTTTATCTAATCAATGCTACACTACATTGTCATACAGTAGTCATATTGAAAGTTATGCTAAAGTTATAATTTAGAGTTCACTATGCACATTTACCAAGATTGGTGAAAGTATCCATTCACTTCTCTTGGGTCATAGTTCTGCTTGTACATAATTGTTTCTGTATAGCAGATTTTGGCTCACTTATTCATTTTAATTACACATTTAACTTTCTTTTGCTCATTCATTTGCATAGATCACTACCAAAATTGCATGTTAAGCAACCATAGTCAAGTGAAGAGCCAAGAATTAATTACTTGGAAAGTTTATGACTAAAATTTCATTGTTATTTAATAACAACACTTTTCATCAAACAACCAACTTTTTCAGGACTAAAACTTAAGTTAAACAGTACATTAGCTCAGTCAAGTGATGAGCTTGCACTTTCCTAGGATGCATCACAGACTTGTCCCATGAGCATGCTTGTAATGGCCACTGTTTTTTGTGTTTGGGCGTCTATGGCCACCAATACAAGCGGGGGCCGGGAGTTTACGGGAAACAATGATCATTCGAGCAAGCATCGAGGAAAACTGTTTATGAACATTTTCAACGACGCAAGTAACCATATGCAAATGAATCAGCACGTTTCGCGTCTTGTAGGTAAATGAGATCGCGCTACGCGGCACTTCGAACATTGATCTAATAACCTCATTTTAACAACTCACAACTCGAAAATATCATATTTTTTATAAAATATGACGCTTGCCATGCCCTAGCGCGAAATCACCGATAAGAGAAAGCAACGATTAGTCACAGAAAGGTTAATTTTACGAATTGCGACGTTTCCACATCAACAGCTTCTGTAGTTGAAGTACAGTTATATAAACTACTTCTACATTAATTTTGGCAATGTAAAGCAACCACAATCAGAGAAATTTTAACATGGGAAAGTATTAGCTGCCATGATCGTACCACGCAAGTCGCACGGCGAGGCTTGGGGTCGGTGCCCGCTAGCCGGTATAAAGTAAAAGGCTAATTGACATTTTACTGCTTATAACTATGTCATTTAGCGAAAATTGACACCTGATAATGAAATCACGACAAATATCATACTTTTAGCTAACAAAGTTGAGTACGTAACGCTACCTCACAAGCCCTGCTGGCTATCCGTGAAATGCGACACACCAAGCGAACATGCCAGTTTGACCTATTATAGTTGGCACGTCGTGGACAGCCTTAAACCAAACCAAAAATAGATGAAAACAAACTCACCCCTTCTCATCATCGTCCATGTCTGGATTCATACGCATAACTTATACTAATTAAAAATAATGGTTGGCACCGGTATTTTTACAACCAAACCACACAAGCACAGACCCACACGAATGATTATGGCGGACCAACCACTTCCGCTTTCTTAAAAAAAAGTCATGGAAAGGAGAAGTAGTCAAAACAAAAACTTTTTTACACAAAATTTTTAAATAATTGAAGAAAGTAAATTGTATTTATAACAGTACTTTTAAAATAAAATAATATATTTAATTATGTACATGTGGTCACTACAATGACTCAAATGAAATGAAAGAACTTTTTTAAAAGGATGCAACGCCATCAAAAATAGTGAAACTACATGCTGACCGGCAGGTGGCAGCACTACAAAAGGTATTGCCACGTAATATACAGAATCAGCATATTTTGGTATTGTTTGGTTATTTACTTTTTTGAAAACATTTTGTAACAATATAAAAATATTATTTACTTGAAGCGGTCTATCTTCAATTACCCAAGAAACTATGTTTTAAAATAATGCGGTTGCAGTAACGCCATCTGTTTTTTTTAATGAAACTTATTGAAACACTGGCTGGTAACAAATAAGTAAAAACAATAATTATTTAGATTTTATTTTATACAAAAAAGTAGTGATAAAAAGAATTTTCTAGTTATTCTTATAGTCATAGTCACTACGTCCCTAGTGCTTTTTTTTCTCATGCGTCGTCTCTAAGTAATTTTTTTTTTTTCATATTATGACACCAAAACTTAGTTATTACTAGCTTCTGCCCGCGACTTCGTACGCGTAATCCTATTTTTTCCCGTCCCCGTTCGTGATTTTCGGTAAAAAGTAAAAAAAAAAATTTGGTCAAAAAGTATCCTATGTCGGTCTCCTGGCTCTAAGCTACCTCCCTACCAATTTTCAGCCAAATCTATTCTGCCGTTGTTGAGTTATAAGTGGTGTAACTAACACGACTTTCTTTTATATATATAGATAGATATATATATTTATAAGCCGTTTCTGAGATTAGCGTGAACAGACAAACAGACAAAAAAAAGTTAGTTACATTTTTGGGTTCGACATCGACATAACAATAGCCCCTGCTATTTTTTTTATTTTTATTTTCAATGTACAGACAGCACTTTTCTACAATTTTATTATATGTATAGATAGATAGATAGATAGTGTTCGACGTGATTCTTTAATTTGACGTAACTTTTTTATTTATGAACCGATTGACATGAAACAAACACTAAAGCATAACTGAAGCATACCACAATATATTCGTGAAAACCGCATCCAACTCGGATAAGCCGTTTCTGAGATTAGCGTGAACAGACAAACAGACAAACAGACAAAAAAAAAGTTAGTTACATTTTTGGGTTCAACATCGACATAACAATAGCCCCTGCTATTTTTTTTATTTTTATTTTCAATGTACAGACAGCACTTTTCTACAATTTTATTATATGTATAGATAAATAATATCGCCACACAAAATTAAGGAACTATGGAACCAGAACAAAAACCTAGTTAATAAAAAAATAATTTATTTAAATAAATCTTACTCTAAATAATTAAATAATACATATAAGTACCTACCTAGTTAAAAAGTAAAAATGTTATAAAATAATTTTTATATTAGTAGGTAGTCAAGTACCCAAACAAAACATACAAATACAAATGCAATCAATTAATTTATTTAAAATCATAATGTAAAACGGGCGCTGTCGATACTATGACTGACATATCTTCTTGTAAGGAAGTGTGGAATGGAAAAATGACTTGAATCTGAAAGTAATAACAAAAAATGATCAGAATCATTTGAGAAATATGTACCTACGTATTTAAGTTATCCAATTAAGTTGTCTATGCACTTAGTAACTACTTTTAAAGATTCTTCCTATGTCGACAAAAAATTGTGTATGTGTAAATAATTACAAAAAAATTATTTACTGAGTATTATTTTTCATATTCTGTGGTAGGCCAAATATATCTTGGATATACTATAATACCTACCAAGTAACAAAAACATAATATGGTAGGGGGGGGGGGTATAAGTATAGTCGAAGACAGAAGTTGATTAGAAATCTCGTTGCGGTGTAGATAGTGTAGGTAGACTTGCGACCGTTGACCGTGTATGTATCCAAAAAATGATGAATGAATTTATATGACTGTAAAATGTAAAATAAGAATCAACCCACCCTAAAAATATACGATATGTGTACCATGGGGTCTTCAATATCCATAGTAGAAGGTATTATATGAGGGATCTCCATATTGAAAAAACATAACTCAGCTATATTTAGAGAAAATTTTTTGTATTCTGCCTTGGACATTTTTCTCTCTTCGTCAGCATAACCTGAGTGCACGCTATATTTTATTTTCTGGAAGCAAAAATAAAAATAAATTAATGTAAGTATTAGGAAAGTTTATAAACTGATTTATTGAGTTTACTACGAGCTCACCTGTATCAACGATATGACGATTTTTCGAATTTTTACTTTTCTCTCATTAACTAATGTTACTTCGAAGGGAATAGTTTGTCTAGGGGCAAAAGCCCTGTAGGTTTTAACACAAATCGTAAATTTTCCAGAATTCCTAAAAGTTTTATGAAACTCGTTGAATGTCGGCATCTGAAGATAGAAAATAGGAGTGCAAAGTGTAATTAATGAAATAATAGTAACAAAGTATGTAGTACCTACAATTACTTTCACTTTGTGGGTATAATATTTTGATTCGAAATACCCACCAAGTATTCCTCCATGTGGTTTACATTGACATTTCCAAATACATTGAATGTTGCTAATTTTCTGAGTTTGTAAGCTGGTTTACTTTGTATTTTTACTGTGTAAGTTATTTTGGCAACAGAACTATCAAAAGTTGAGGGTAAATCTGGGGGTAATGCGAAATGGAATGGATAATGGTGGATACCGGCCGGCAACACGCTCCCTGTAAAAAAACATAATTTTATTTTACTAAAAACATTATAGCAAAAGATATAATTATAATCATGTGTTAAATAATAATATCCTCATTCCACCTGCTGTTAAAATATTGCCATGAGGTGATAGGTAGGTAGTCACTAACAAAAGATGGGTTGGCATAACAGGTAAATAACAAGGTTCCATGGCAATGGCAGGCCCTAAACCGAAAACGACAAAAAATGTAACAAAGTGACAGTAGAAATTGTTATTATTTTACTATGTGCACGTTATCATAGGCCCAAATGGGTGTAAGTAGTACGCTTGGTAGTATGAAAGTATTGTAAAGCGATTTGCAAGATAAATAATTATTATGAGTTTTATAAAATCTACGTTTTTGTGATAAGATTACTTACCAACACTCAAATCCCTGAATATATCAGTCATTAGCAAGCTAAGGACTTTCTTCTTTTCAGAATAAATTTTTATGTAAGGCATTGTCGGCATAGGCCTGGTCCACTGGGCTTTACATAATCCCGTTACTTTTAAATCAATGCCTAGAAAATAACGGAAATTAGAATAATAAAATTATGGACATTGAATAAAAAATACATCTGGATCAGACAGTCTCACTAAAAAGTAATAGACATAAATTAAATAAGGGAAGAAATACTTTGAAATTTTTGTTCATTCTTCAATTCCAAAATAACAGTTCCAGTCACAATATCACCCGCATAAAAACTGCCAGTGGAATCACTGTTAAAGTTTATAGTACATGCCATAGTAAATGTAAATATATTATTGCGTTCACAACAAAAATAACTTAGCCACTCCGCCTTCTTCATAATACATAATTATTGCTATCGGCAGCTTGATAACCCCGATATGTATTAGATAACAATGATGACAGATGATAAGCACTCGTAAATTGGTGGCGATTAATTAGCTTGAGTAGTAACAACTTGATTATTTATTTTAAACTTTCATGGTACATACAAATACCGTATTTAAGTATTGAAGTGATGATAAACCAGTTACCTACACTCACGCCACGAACTTATGGGGACAGGCAGAAACCACTATTTAAGACAAACGAAAGGTTTATTAAAGATGTAAGAAACAAACTCTATGCATGGGCAGCGCTGATCGCTTACCATCAGGAGATCCGTCTGCTCGTGCGCCTCCAATTTCATAAAAAAAATATTGTGTGTTTAACGGTTTAACCTAATTTCATGATTAATTAGTCGTTAAAATCTCGTAAGTAACGATGAAATGGTCATTAAGGAGCTATTAGTAAGTTAGTATATAAATAAATTCTTCCAGGTCTATCTTAAAATATTTTTTTTTAATTAATATTTAGTTTGAGTAAAACCAGTCAGTGACCGATACATCATGATCATGAGTATTTTTGCATTGATTTGTGATTTCTATCCTCGTTTTCGAACGATCAGCAATAATTATTAAGTTTGACATTGACAGTCAGATGACATTCCGCAGTATTGAAAATCTGAATTTCTTTCGTGGTGATTTTTCCGATCGGTACCCCTATACTTATTATACTCTTTGGATCGGTTCTTCGGCATGATTCGCAAAATAACTGTTCGATCGTTTTGTTTAGTTGTGCATTGTGTGTTTTCTTAAACACATATTTGTTGTAAGGGTGTTTTTCTTTAATTTGTTTCGATTAATGCGTTGTAAAGTGAATTGTGATAGGTTATGTTATGCCCTTTGAATTTTCAGGGTGAAAAGTAAGTTTTGTTTGATGTATTTTGTTATGTATTATACTCATACTGTACTTTAGTTCAAATTATGTTAATTGGTAATGTAAACTGTTGAAGTATTATGCAGAGAGTTGACAGCGCGACATTTTTGTGTCTGTTTTTGCAGACGTTTTGATTACACAAATCATGTTTCGGTTTTTCTGCAAATTTGAAGTCTGTGACCTCATTTACGTCAAAAACACATAAGTTTAGGTAAATAGTTAATTCAGGTACTATAGTTTATTATGCTGAAATAGTATTACATCATATAATTGGTATTTTTTGTCTTGTAGATAGCATAGTATCAATTAATTATGTAGTAGGTGTGTACAGCTATAACACTGTTTTATAGGAATCAATACAGCTTTAGTGAAGGAATAAAAATTACTTGATATTCAAGATGAGTTGTATCAAGTTATTTGCTTTTGTTTTCGCACAGTTACCATCAGTTACACTCTTTACCCATAACTGATACCAGTATGGCTTGATAATAATTGACATTCAAAATAAACATGCATTGTCAACTGCATGATCATCTTGATGTAAAATCAAATCTTGTCTAGTGCAGTTTTATTTTATTTTATTTGTTTATCTAGTGTAGTTACCATAGATCTGCTCACTTGTCTGTGATCTGCACATTTGGAGAATGAAATCTATGCTCATAATAACCACACTTTTAACCTCAATACATTTCATTGAACGCTGAAGATGTATCATATTTGTAAAGCTCTTATATCACATTCCAGTTCATATTCAATAGTAATCTGTTATGCTGTTTGTTAAACAAACATTTGTTGTGTGTGTAATCAATGTGTTGATTGTACCTCGTAATACATTCGCTTCTTTACCCTTAAACTGTCAAACACCGCGAGGACACCGGTTACCGCAACCTATTGTTCTATAATTGTGTCTATAATGACGGTACTCAAAGGGTTAATATTCATATTTTTCTATTTTCTTTATCAGAGAGCTACTGCAACAGTATGTCTAGGTGGTTTTGTTATTCAGAATTAATAAAAGACTTTTATAACAATTCAAAAATTTTAATACAATAATTCCATAAACTGCCCTAATATATTAACTATTCTATTTTATTCAAGGTAATCACCACAACAATGGACCCAAACATCTATGCTCTGGTCCTTGACACTTTAAACCGTGCAACCAGCCAGGACCCAGACGTTTTAAAACCAGCTGAAAAGAAACTTCAAGAATGGGAGGTGGAACCTGGCTTTTATTCTGTACTCCTGGTAAGTGCTCACAAGTGCTACTATGTTTGTCCCGCACGCTTGTGAAACAAGAGGTTCACAATTTAGTCAGTTATTAAAAGGTTAGGACTCTAATAGTCTTCTTTGTTTTCCGATCTAAGGTTTGTGTAAAGGTTTTTTCTGTAAATGTTGCCCCACACTAGGCACTAGGATTTTCTCCCATGTCGTGGGTGTGTTTACAAACATACAAGTTCACAAACACATGACACCCAGACCCGGGACAACAATTTGTGGATCACACAAAGAGTTGTTCAATGCGGTTATTAAAATAGCAACATGTTGCGAGGCAGCCACTTGCCCAGCCACCGCGCTAACCGTGCAGTCAAGTATATTCATTGAAGATTGGTGTTTGATATTTGTATTCGTATAAAGAATACAATTTAATAGTGATTTGGCAGTTACTACATAACTGTTAAATCTTCTGGATTTTGTGTTATAGTTATAATTTTGTTTTAACCTCTTGTTTGTCAATATATCAGACACAATAGAAAACACATTGTCTCGTGTAGGTCAGCCTTCCGTCATACCACAGGTTAATAATAATTAATCTTTACATATATCACATAAATCATGCGCTTGTCACTTCACAATCCAAAGCATATCAAGAAACTGTTCTTTACAGAATGTCCTGTCAAACCACTCGATAGACGGAAATGTCCGGTGGTTGGCAGTTATGTGTTTCAAAAACGGTGTCGACCGATATTGGAGGAAGACTGCTCCTAATGCCATCACGGAGGAAGAGAAGCTGAAGTTGAGACAAGGTCTCCTCACAACGAACATACTGAGTGAACCAGTGGCCCAGATTGCTACACAACTTGCTGTACTAATATCTAAGATTGCTAGGTAAGTAATGCTTGTATTCCCTGGACTATCCAAATCAAGAACGAGATTTTTGTTCAGCAGTGGATGGACTTACACCATTGTGAAGTATAATGAAAATCAAGTTAATCTAACTCATTTGATTTTAGGTCGTAAACTTTTGTCTATTTATTTATATCTACCTAAAAAACCTGCCATTAGATATAAAATCTAGTGGCAGGTTTTTTTTAGATATTGTAAGGAGGATGGTTGACAGTGTTGACACTTCAGGTGATCGAAGGGCTGGCTACTACCTTGGGCAAAGGTTAAGCATTGCCATTCAACGTGGCAATGTTGCCAGTCTTTTGGACACCCTACCTCACGATAGCGTTGAGGAAATTTTTTTTTTGATGCCTTAAGATAGCGTTTTTATTATTTCTATGTTTTTTAAGGTGTAAATATTTTAGTTTTTAGTTAGTTGTATTTTAAGTTGTAAATATTTGTTTATAAATATAACTATGTTAATTATATTTTTCATTTAATAAACCTCTTCATATTCTTTTTCAGGTTTGACTGTCCAACAAACTGGCCAGATTTGGTGCCCGAGTTAATGGGTGCTTTAAAGGCTCCCCAGCCATTAATGCAGCACCGGGCTCTACTGATCTTCCATCATGTGGTCAAAGCATTGGCTTCTAAAAGGCTTGTCGACGAACGACGTACATTCCAGGTCTGTCCCCATTTAGTTATAGTTACTAGGAAAGATGGCTAAGCACCAGTCCAAAACTTATAAAAAATATTCATGTGACTTAGTTGCTAGGAAATACAAATAAACGTTTTCGTTTGATGTTAATCCATGGTGATAGGTAGACACTACACAGCAGTACAGTTTGTTTCATGTATTTCTTTGGCTTCCTTCTCCTTCAATACACATGATACCAAAAGCTTTTAACTATCTTTGTCTATGCTTATAATAAACCTGTAGAAAGGTCAATTCTGTACATAAAATATACCAAAATAACTATCAACGGGTGATTAGTGATCGATACTAATGCCAAAAATGCAATCAGTAATTTTTTTGTCTGTCTGTCTGTCTGTCTTCATGTACCTTATAGAAACAAAAACTACTCAACGGATTTTAACGAAACTTGGTACAATTATTCTTCATACTCCTGGGGAGGTTATAGTATACTTGCCATCACGCTACAATCAATAGAAGCAGAGCAGTGAAGGGAAATGTTGGGAAAACGGGAGAAGTTACTCCATTTTTTAAGCTTCCGTCGCGTGTGCAGCCTTAATGGTTAATATTACATAGAAATCACGTATGACGGAAATGTTCTACATAAAATTATAGAAAAATATCCCTAAACAGCATATGTCTATCTTTTATGATTGACTCAGAATAATACGTGTAACTCGCGATAGCTTAGCAGTTCGAAGCTTTTTGCTTATATTTGTTTATTCTTATGTTTATAATGCTCTCACTCATACATAATTGAAAAAGTTAACATTATTACTTATTCAATAAAGAAAAGAATCATAGAAATCGTCATAGGTGGACTTTAAGCTGTAACTGCTGACACGATGGTTGAAACTAATTTGAACCGATATTATAAATCTGAAAGTAACTTACTTACTAATCTAACTTCTAGGTTTCAGTGACGTTGTTATCAGTCTGTTTGAACATATTAAGACTAAGAGTAACAGGTAAATCTGAATATTAAAAAATACAATAATAATTTCAGGAACTAACAAACACAGTATACTCGTTCATTCTAAACCTTTGGCACGAGAACACGGAGCTATTCCTCCGCCACATACAAGAGGGTGCGGCCACAGAGCTGATAACGGAGCACTTAGAGAAGGCACTCCTCTGCCTCAGGATATTAAGGAAACTGACTGTGTTTGGTTTTAAGAAGACACACGAAAGCCAGGACGCAATGGCATTCTTGAATGTCGTTTTTGACCGTGCTAAGACCAGTTTGGAATGCAGTAAGTATAACCGTCAATAGGTACATACGATTATAGAAATTCTGAATGTTCTTGGAAGTCATACACATAGGCTTCTCCTATGTGTATTTCGAAACATAATGTTCTAAATTGATAGGATATATTAAGAACATTTAAAATGTATGTTTTGTCAATCTTCCAGGAAAACTATTAAAAGGTAGAGGTATTTATCCTCTGGAGTTGTGCGAGAAATTCATAATACACCTTACTAAGGTGGCTTTAGGGGTGTTATCTGCACAACCATTCTCCTACGTACCTCTGATCAGGCCATCTTTGGAGTTCGCACTGTACTACTGTTTTACTGAACAAGGAATGGCCCTCATATACGAAAGGTTCACTATTCAGTGCCTGAATATTGTAAAGGGGATTCTTCAGTGTTTGGAATATAAACCGCCTAAAGGCAAGGAAGCATGTGAGTATTGTACCAGATTTTGTCGTATATTGTCTTCTATTGTGTCTCGCAAATAGTTTTTAAGTTTGATAAATATTAGTATTGTATTACATAATTAAAAATAACAAAATTATTCTTTACTTAATTTAGTATTATTTTTCAGTGCCGACTCTCCAAGCTCACCAGGCAAAGATGGAAGTATTAGACCCGAACACGCTCTGCCACATGTGTAGGCACCTGGTCTCTCATTACTTCCTACTCAGTGCTGATGACCTGGCACTCTGGGACGCCGAGCCAGAGAGCTTCGCCACTGATGAGGCGGGTGAATCCTGGAAATATAGCTTGAGGGTGAGTCTAACTAATTGTAAGTCAAATCATTCATTTCTACTAAACCATAAACAGGCACTTTTGAAATGAATGAATTCTTGAAAGTATAATTATGTATTAACTAGCTGTTGCCCGCGACTTCGTCCGCTTAGAATATGATTCCTGTTTTATTCCATGGGAGCATTAATTCGAGATAAAAAGCCGAGGCGGGTAGCCGATCACCTAAGTCAGCCTATACCCTGCCTGTAAACCAAATATCATCAAAATCCGTTCAGTAGTTTCAGCGTGATTTAAGGACAAACATCCACCGAAAGAAATTTTCACATATGTAATATTTATTAGGGTGATTAATTACATATTTAATACCTTACTAACGTAATGGTTTACGAGGTAACTCGACTTGTTTCGTAATCGATTTGTGTATGAACAGTATGAATGATGTTTTTTAACATGATTTCATCATCACTATATCTCTAGTTATTTTTCAAATGTAATTTTTTAGGTACATTGGGGTGTTAAACCGTTTGAAATTAATTTTTGATGTTATTTTAATTTCAGCCTTGCACAGAAGCATTGTTCTCAGAGCTGTTTCAGTTCAGGAGTGTATTAGCTCCGGAGTTAGTGCGAATGTTAGCGAACTTACAGACTCAGCAGATCTCTCCCGACGACCTTCCTGGCATATTGAAGAAGGATGCTATTTACAATGCCGTCGGATTGGCTGCCTTCGATTTGTATGACGATGTGAGTTAATGTTATTTTAAATATTTTGCTATTTCTACTCGGGAAAATGGCTATAAAATTGTGTTTGTCATAGTTTGGATGACAATAGGCATGGCGACTATTTTTAATTTTTTGTCCGTCTTTTAGATATTTTAAAAATCTTCGATACGTTTTTTTTATACTTTATAGGTCGACGTTTGACCACCATCTTGCCTGATGGTAAGCGATGATGTGGAAAAAAAACGTGTAGATATTTTGAGTTAAAATGACGCGTGACGTCACAATTAGGTACGATTTCTCCGTAAGTGTGACGTCAACACCCCCCACTCCCTAACTTTAATGCGGAATAACTACGTATTCTTCTGTTAATTTGATAAAACAAAAAATACGTGTCTGATATTTTCGTGCGATCTTAATGACGGACTAATTACTTTTTTGATTTTTTTACCCTGTCGACACGCCTATTATCGTTGCGTCTGTACTCTTTCGGATCGTGTTACATTGCTGACTTACATCCATGTTAAGCTTTTTACGTGTTTCTTCTCAGGTCGACTTCGACGAATGGTTCACGAATGTATTAAGTCAAGAATTAAAAATTAAGGACAACAATTATAGAATAATACGAAGGAGGGTTTGTCAACTAATTGGTGAGTTCTCAAATATTTTAATCAACCTTATGCTTACTAGGCAAGGCGGATATTTTGTCATGTGTATAATTCATGTCAGGTCAATGGTGTGGTGTTCGTGCATCACAGTCGTTGAGGCCAGCAATGTATGCTGCCCTACTAGAACCCCTCAGTAGTCCGGACGAGGACGCCGCAGTAAAGCTTGCAGCGGCCGAGGCACTGAGGAGTACGATCGACGACTTCAACTTTGACGTGGAACAATTTGCACCGTTCGCTCCGCATGCGATCGCTGCGCTCTATGAGCTCCTGGTATGTGGGCTGATATATTGTATTATTTTTGAATTGTAAATGAAGCTGTTTTAGAACTTATTTGACATACCTATTTTTATCTAAATATTTTTCTGTATTCACTCTTATTTCACACTTAGTATAAGAAAATAAATATTGATTCAGTATAAAGACGCAAAGAGAGTAGCGATGTCTTATGTCACAGAGGTTGACTTAATACCCAACCAATAGTCTGTGAAGTGTGAACTGTATCAATATTGATATGTCGTGGTTGCCTTTAGGTTTAAGACGCCCGCTTCTCATGCACGAGGGTGCGGGTTCGAAACCTACCAACGACAAGTCTTACATAACATTTCTAACATGATTTAGACGCTATTGACAAACAGTGAAGCAAAACATCGTAAAGAAACCTGGACTTTTAATTTCTAATTATAAGTTTGAAATCGCCAACCCGCATTGAGCAAGCGTGATGATTAATGCTCATAACCTTCGCTGTGTGGGAAGAGGCCAAAGGGTCAGCAGTGGCTACCTATAGGCCGTTGATGTGATGTGACGACGTGTGTTGCAGGTGGAGTCGGAAGAGATGGACACGAAGATGCACGTGCTGCACGTGGTGTCGTTCGTGACGGAGCGCATGGGCGGGCGCGTGGCGCGCGGCGGCGCGGCGCAGCTGTTCGCGTACCTGCCGCAGCTGTGGGCGCACGCCACGGCCGCCGCGCACAACATGCTGCGCGCCGCCGCGCTCGCCGCGCTCGTACATCTACTCAAGGTAAGTACTTACACCTCCTCGGGGTTATGTTGTCCTGGTACCTAAATAAATATATTTTCGTTTGATTTAACCTAGCAGAACAATACTCGTGGGATATGGGATAGGTTCTTAAACAGTGCAGATGGGTCAATTGATGGTAGATGAGGTTCTCGGTCAGTCTTTTGGGATTTGGGAATTAGGGATAAGGGAAAATTGCGCCACCGGTAACCTCAATCATACACGAAATACGTAAGCGTTTTTTCACGCCGGTTTTCTTTATGGATGTTGTAACACTCCGGTACAGTTTGCTAAAAATTGATTGGCGGTTGAAAATTGTCTATATTACTCCTTTAACCATACTAGAAAACTCAAAATCACAATCAAATAACATTTTTTTCTCAACAGGCTCTAGGGGAATGTCCCCCAAACATTCGGCCCTGGATTCTGAGTGTGGTGAACGAGTCCACCAAGCTTACAGAGCCGGCGCACGTATACCTACTGGAGGACGCGCTGGAACTGTGGCTCGCTGTACTGGAGACCTCACAGGCGCCGGACCCTGTCACACTGCAGCTAGCTGAGAATTTGTACCCGATATTAGGTAGGTTTTGTGGAAAAAGTTAATCATTTAAACAACTTTGTCAACTAGTGTTATGTTCAAGTTTGCTACTTGAATCGTCTTTGAGGCACAGCTCTCCCATGTAAAACTTACTAAAATAAGCATTTATTAATTCAAATAAACAAATAACTGCTATACGAAAATCATCACAAACACCCTATTTTTTGCAGAGCAATCATCGGAACATCTAAGGATAGTAGTGTACATAATGCAAGCCTACACCCTCCTGTGTCCTGAGGAGTTCCTCTCAGCTGCGGGAGGGAAGTGCATGGAACTCCTGGAGGACATGTTGAGTGATATGAGGACCGAGGGAGTCATCACAGTACTGAAGATGGCTGAAATCTGCATTAGTGTCAGTTTTCCTGAGAGGAACGCCTTCTTGGGAGTCAAGGTCATCTGGCCAATACTTATTAGAGTTATACAGTGAGTAAATATACTGAATGTACTTGTACCTTGTAAAAATAGGTGTAATTGTGTTTTTGCCTTGGTCTTACATTGAGGTTTTACAAAGAGATACTTTCAGAATGTTTAGATTTTTTTACGGTAAAAACTTATCTCATTAACCTTCAAGCGGGCGCGCGGTCTTTTGTAACGGGAGCGGGCGCGCGTAACCGAATAGACCTATGGGATGAATAAGACCAAGAAAGCAATAACTATGGGATAATCATTTATTAATTTGTACTAAGATACAATATCATTATCTTTAAAGAGAAATTTGTCAGAACAAGTAATTAAAATTATGAAAAAGAAGCAATTATTAAGTCACCTAAAGTATCTCAAATATTCTTCGGATCAAAATAAAAATTAAGACCCGTTTACATATGTTAGGTTGGTTTATATACGTAGACCATAAAATAAATAAAAAGTAAGGATAAAAACTCATTAATTTTGATTTTATTTTCGTCTGAGTCAGTATTCTAGTAATTTTTCAGATTTTGCTACTTAGTAACTTTTTCGCGTCCTGTAAAACAGCTATTTATTTCCGTAAGCTACAAATTATTCTCATCTAAATCCGACAAGGATGATATCACATCAGATAGATGTTCTTCTAAAACTATGTGATGAGAAGTTTCAGAGCCTTGGTTGCTAAGCTCTGATTCACTCTCTTCTTCGTCTTCTTTTTGTAATTCCTCGATTACTGCACTTTGCGATAACCATAAACGACTTACTTATTTAAACAAAAAACGCTTTAAAACACCAAAACTCCAAGCTGAATTAGATAATATTGACATGTGTATGTCGCGTTGAGCGTCGCGTGTAACCTATTCGACGACAGGCGCGTGTAGTCTTTTCAACGACTGCGCCAGAGCCTAAACAATTGTAATTTGTGGAGTGGAGAGAGCGCTTCAAGCAACGGAACAGTTTTTATTTTACTCCTAAAAAGATAGTGACAGGCTACTAGAAATTAGAAATGCATGTGGCAACTAAAAATAAAAATACGAACGAAAATGTATTAACCGCGGTCGATTCGACTACGCGCGCCCGCTTGAAGGTTAACTATGGTTGATGGACATTTGCAACACCAATAGAACCGTTGACTCTATCGATGCTATATTAATATAGAACGAAACCCTCAAGAGCCCTATTATCTGAAAAAGGCCTATATGATTTCATATATCCGTAGTCTCTGCCTACCTACATGTGAGACAGGTGTGAGGGTATGTATGTGTGTGTGTATGTACTAACAATAAAAATCCCTTTCCAGCTGGTTACTCGAAGCTGATGACCTTCCAATAGTCCTATCAGTTCAGTTATGTCTGGTGTCCCGTGTTATCCTGCTATCAACGGATCTGTTCTACAAAGCGATCCAAGAGGCCGCCACGGTCGTCTCTGACTACGACTCAGACCCCGCCAAGTTGCTGAACAAGTTCCTACACGTCTGGACTGAAAAGATGAATCTAGTTACACAAGTTGAGAGGTGGAAAGTTGTCGGTGAGTACTCAACTGGTAAAAAGTGCGATTCATATTTTCGAAGCTTGAAAATTATTGGTAGAACAAAGTTATGATTTTTAACTGAAAATTAGTGTTGTGTAATGTGAGAACAATCTATAATTAATTCTATGCAAAAAATAATCTTTAATTCTGTAAACCTATCAGACAGAGTTTTAACAGTAAATTGTATCCTTTTTATCATCTTTAGCTAGCATACTTGGACTCCAAGCTAGCAAACTTAGTTCGAAAACTAACATTTTATATTAGATTTTAGACATAAACAGATAGATGTAATAATTTGTGATTCACATAATGAAACAGTTTTATGTCTGACAAGTATTGTGTCCGTAGGCCTAGGTCTAGCCGCGCTGTTGACGACGCAGAACGCGACAGTGTTGCAGCGGTTCCCCGCCATACTACTGAACCTGGCCGAGGTACTCAACGACGTCATGAAGTCTGAGGAAAACGGCACGTATATAGAGTAAGTATTACATAAATGTTATTCTTTGTGTGACCCAAAATTAATGAATAGATCAAATAAGGAAAATAATAATGATTCCGAAAAACAAATTAATCTCCAGCGATCTGTGGCCGACTATAAAAATGGATCTTCGAATAACAAAACTAAACTTCCGAATAGAATATTGAACCTCCGACAAAATTACTAAGTTACCGACAACAGACGTTTTAGGTTAGGTTAGTATTGTAGCAATAAACAGTCATGTAAAGTAGTCGGAAAGTTAGTATTTTAGGCAGTAGATTTAATATTTTCAGTAAGGATAATTCTTCTTTTCTTGTCGGAGCAGTTCGGACAAAAGTAGTCGGAAAGTTAGTATTTTAGGCAGCCAATTTAATATCTATATATATAAAAGAAAGTCGTGTTAGTTACACCACTTATAACTCAAGAACGGCAGAATAGATTTAGCTGAAAATTGGTAGGGAGGTAGCTTAAAGCCAGGAGACCAACATAGGATACTTTTTAACCAATACTTTTTTTTTTACTTTTTACCGAAAATCACGAACGGGGACGGGAAAAAATGGGATTACGCGTACGAAGTCGTGGGCAGAAGCTAGTTTTCAATAAGGACAAGGAGCTTTTATTACTACCCATCAAATACTAAGTTTTATTTATACGTGGGTAGAGGATACGATGCGAGGATGTAGTCGTGGTGAACCGGAGGTTTAAGACGCTCGCTTCCCATGCATGAAGGCGCGGGTTCGATACCTACCAACGGTAAAGTACCAATGTGGCTATTTCCGCATTTGTGTACTTTCTATGATTATTTAGATTCTACAAATGGTGAAATAAAACATCGAACTTTGGCTTATAATTTGTAATTATATGTTTGAAATCGCCAACACGCATTAAGCAAGCATGGTGATTAAAGCTCAACTTCTCCGTATGAGAAGAGGCCTTTGATCAGGAGTGGGCACTTATAGGCTGTTGATGTTGATGATGTTGAAAGGATGCGATCTCCTTAATTGCTAAGCAGAAGTGGAGATGAGCTAGGCATATCGCACGCATGAACAGATGGACAAGACAACTACTACAAACCAATATATCGGTGGACTACATCAGACGCTATGGAAGACAAAACTGTTCAAATTATTAACACATTATTAACACTCTGTTTTTAGTTATATTTTACTAACGACCCGCCCCGGCTTCGCACGTGTGCAATATGCATGTATTATACATATAAACCTTCCTTAAGAATTACTCTATCTATAAAGAAAACCGCATCAAAATCCGTTGCTTAGTTTTAAAGATCTAAGCATACATAGGGACAGACAGACGGCGGATAGCGACTTTATGCTATGTAGTGATTATGAAGTCAATGTTATAAATACGCAAGTTTGTGTGTCTGTGTAAAACCTTTTACCTGATTTTTTTTAATGTCGTTTTATTCAGGAAACAAACAGTCTCTTATTAATAATTAATTATAGTACAATTTACAGGATGATACAGACTTGAAAATAAATATAAGGCACTGTCTTATTATTGCCACCAAGTCTTAAGTCTTTGTATCCAAAATAGAAGAGGCACACATTAGCGGCCTACAGTATTTTTGCTCGCCAAATGGCGCTAGTGTAAATATCTCGTTCTTCGCCCAATAGGGAATTAGTGTGACACTATTGGACATTTAATATTTGACAGTTATTGCTAATGGACAAAAAACCATTTCTTAGGCGCTGTCTCCACGAGCGAGAGAATCGCGGCGATATTATCGTCGTGCCACGTTTTTGTATACACTCTCTATGGAACCGTCTCCACACGGCGATATTATCGCCGCGATTCTCTCGCTCGTGGAGACAGCACCTTACATTTGCGCTATATGGTGAGCAAAACAACGTTAGCCCCCATTAATCTTCATAATAATAATATGTAGTCCGTCCGATTTTTCCGCCAGTGGTCTACTGGCTCCGCCGGGGTCCCGGCCGGCGTCGCCGCTGGAGGGGCGCGGGGGCGCGGCGCGCTGGGGCGAGGCGGGCGGGGGCGCGGGGGGCGCGGGGGGCGCGGAGTACCCGCACGAGCTGCGCCGGCGCGCGCTGCTGGCCACGCACCCCGCGCACACCATCGACCTGCGTGCCGTCATACATCTACAGGTATCTGACTACTTGTACATTTACTACTTCACTTACACACTCACTGACTAAACTCAATAACTTAATTCAGTGAGTGAAAGATCACTCATTAGTCACTTATCTGTTAGAAATTTTTTGTAATATAGTTGGACGAGTTCCAGCATCGTCGTATTAAATAACAAAAGGCTGCATGCAAGTTTTACTCTTAATAGTATGTTAACTCACTCAAAGTATCATTCAGAAATGTCAGTAATACAAAATTAAACCATATTTACCAAACAATAAAATCCTATTTCAGTTGGAGACGTTGAAGAACCAGGTAGGAGCTGAGACATTCGACCGACTGTTACAGTCCGCGGACAGAGAAACACTACAGCAGATAAGGGAATACATACCACTCTAAATATCCATGTAAAATTCATATTATAACCTATGCAAGCACATCAAAGTACCCTTTAATCAATTTGCAACCTTATCAACATTGTTATGAAGTTGAAAATTGATAGTTATTGTAGCATAGCTTGAAATACTGTTTATACTTTGTACTTGCCATTGGCTTATGAAACCTAAGTTTCCTGTAATGTATAATCATCATAATTATTATTATCAGTTCTAAGATGGCCATTGCTGAACATAGGTACTGACTCTCAGATCGACTGATTGGAAGCGACCTGTATCCAGTTGCTTCCTGTAACCTTTATGATTAGATTTGCATATTAGTATAATGTATCCTTGATATTTACAAGTGACATTTAATTACTATACGAGCCCAGTTATATTAATAATAAAAATACAAACTTGATTGGACAATTTGAGTCAATTTAGATCTTTCAAAATAAGTTCTTATGGAAAAAATGCTAGAAATTAAAGGCAGGTATACTAGTACCAGTATAATATAAACTAAATTAATCATGACATTTTGGACTCCGGAAGTAGGCCTAAATAAGCTAATGGCAAGCGAGATAGCGATGTTAGAATGAGAAGCGAAAATTAACTTAAATTACATGATTAGAAGGTTGAATTTACCGAGATTACACATGTAGAAGAGTGAAACATGAATAATATTGACGTCCAGCCGAATTATAAAATGGTTGGTAATATGATAAAAGATTATAATCATAGAATCTCTATTTACCACACAGGTAGTAAGGTCTTTTTATTTAAGAACTACGTATTTTATGTAGAGCTGCTCCAAGATTTTGTCCTAGGTCGTGGATGCGTTTATAAACAAATTCACACACTCCAGACTCTCGGGGATTATTATTATTATTACAATGGATTGTTTCATTTCGCAATAGCCGCTTGCCGCACGAATAGTGCAGTCTTTAAAACAAATCAATTTTTAATATTATTAGACATTATTTTTGGAGTTTATGTAAAAAATCGAGGGTGATTCAGAGATCTTGGATAAAAATTGGATATTAATTTCCGTCGTGAAGACACTTATTTAGATCTACTTGATGATGAAAACCTCAGTCGTTTATTAACTCATTCTAACATCCTATTTCCAGAAAAGTATTATTTTTAATTCCATCGTCGTAATACATGTTGTTGCAGAGCCATTGTTTATATTTGTACATTTTCTAACACTTATTTCAAAGTGTTTAAAGTTGAAATTCGCTTTTATATGAAGAGTTACATATATTCTTTTTATAATTTCACTTACAATGATGCTTCTTTTGACTGTTAGGACATTGGGATACCATGGTCGCACGACCAGTTGCGCAACAAAAATATATTATACTGGGGGGATTTGGTCGTCGATAATCGAAAACATTTATTATTATGTTTTTCGGTTTACGTAATTATTTGACGAGGAACTCGACTAGTGTCAGCGGCGTGACGGTCGCCGCGTCGCGGGTCGCGGAGTGCTGCTCATATACATACATATGAACCTCCAACATGGCTTGAAACTAGCCGAGTTCCTGGTCAAATAATTACGTCAGTAAGCGGAAATACATGATAATTAATTTAGTATGTCTTACGAAAGTTATAACATATCGATGTCTATAATCGAAAACATGTCGATGATCAACTTAGCAAATTTATTTTCGGCTAACTCACATAACTGTTTGATGAGGTAACTGGACTAGTTTCAAGCAACCCTAGGAGTTCATATTCATGATAATATGTCCCACGAGACTATATTTAATACAAATAATAATTAGTCAAGTTATTTGTGCAACCAGTTGAGTTTCTATTAAAAATAACCTTCGTTATTTGACATATTTGTCGCGCGACTTTGTAATATCGTACGACAATGGCATTCTAAAAATGAAATAGGGCTTTTAACCTCCTTCTCGCTTACTCTTCATATGAGAGAACGAGATGCATGAGCTTGCAGCTAGTTCTAATAGATCGCTTTTATGTATCTTGCTTATTTTAGGATTGTTGAGGAAAATAAACCTTATTTCTATATGAATACTATCGGTTTAGCCAAAACATGGATATGTTTGAGTTACTAGTTTATTTTAATGTATAATTAATATGTGTATATGTGATATAAATACAACTTCCTATACTGTTAGCTGTTTTTAATAGATTGGTCGGTCTTTGTTGGCCTTGAAATGTAAAAACTATGGACTTTTCTAACTGTTAGCATCCGGAGTAGTGAATGCCAATAGATCAAGGTATTACAAAGAGTAAGTTTCTACATTAGATTTTAAACTTTATTACAAAAGTATGAAGTTGTAATTCAAAAAGCAAGTTATAGATTGTTATTTTTGTTACCTCGATGTAACGAGGTCTGTATGTGTTTATTTATGAAACATTTTCTATCTTTTTTTATGAAAATGGCACTAACAAAGTTCACTACACTGTCAAAATATTCGTAAAAAATATAAACCTTTCACTAAATGTAAGACTTCATGTTAAATTTGTTTTTTTTTTTTTCATTTCTTAGAAGAATAAGAACAATTGAACGCTGAATCTACTAAGTTATATAAAGTACCCTTATAGTGTTGGTATGTGAATGAAATTGTAAAGTATCGATAATTCGATATAATAATATTAATTACAAAATCTTTGTAATCTATTTCATTTAATAAATAATTGCATTCTTGATGACGTAAATGACTATTTGCTAATGTTTTGACCATCGTATTTTTATCATGAAATTCATCAAAATTTGTAATGCATGTATAGTTCCTGAATGTATGAAAAAGCTTTTATATTGAGAATGGCTACTTATGTATTGTATTATACATTGCTGCCTAGTATTGTGGAAATTAGGAGCGTAATGATTTATTTGAATTTATAATCAATTTGCAAAAGTATCGATAACAAGCACTACACTAGTAAGTGTTCGAGCGCATTTAAATTTTTTAAAAAAATTCTGTAAAAATAAAAAACGTTTTTTTGAATAATAATGGCCTTTGAAAACTACTTATTATTAATGAATTGATGATAAAGTGAAAAAAAAAATGAAAAAAAATATAAAGAAAAAAAAGTCGATAGAAATGTTTAATCTTAAAATTAATACTTTAATATTATTTTGCTTAGCTTAAGGAAGTGTGTGTATACGAAAAATGTTGTTATATTAATATGGCGGCCTGTGGTTAATTCTCTTGCTATGTTAAACGAAACTAAATGTTTATTTGACTATTCGAGGATATGATAATCTTATGTCTAATACTCAAACGCTACTCAATTTTAAATTACGCTTAAGTATATTTCTGTCACTACAAACTCTTTGTAAAATGAAAGAGACGGCACGATATTTAAGTACAACTTAAAGTTGAGTACCCTTTCAGTATTCAGGTGTAATACCTTTTATGTCTATTTATTGTATCCAATTAGCTTCTATATAGCCTCTCAACAAACACGTTTAATAAAAACTGGCTTCTCTTCTGCCCGCGACTTCGTACGCGCAGTCCCGTTTTCTCCCGTTCCCTTAGGATTTTCAGGATTTTTTTCTATCATAAGAACCTTCTCCTGACAATAACAAACACAACAAAAAAAAATTTCAGCCAAATCGTCAACGGGAAACGGGTTTCATTTATATATATATATAGATTGTATTTAAGAAGTGCCTGTTAACTCGTCGAGTACCGGTTTTGTAGACACAATTATAGAACAATAGGTGGCGGTCACCGGTGACCGCTTGGTGTTTGACAGTTTAATAGATACCTAGTTAAAATAGTATTCAAACTTGATCCAAGTTGAACCTTGCAATTTGCTAAAATGTCTATTCATTACAATTTTGACGCTAATTAAGCTAATTGTATACAAAAAATACAGAAAACCATGAAATAATAACCACAAATCTTAGCCATATAGTACGGATCTTGGGGACATGGTCACATTGTTGTGAAATTTTCAAAATTAAAGTCAATTTTGGTGTTTTTTGATTTTTATACAAATGTAACGATGTCCTAACGACTGTATATTATGTATGTACTATGTACGGACACGTTTCGATTCCATGTGTGTGATTGTATGATATAAATAATAAATATTATATACTGATGCATATTTTTTTAACGCTCGAGTAGAACTAGCTTGTACAGGACGTTTGATAGACCTTAGGAATGTAGGGTGTTTCATTTGCTACAGAACAAATTCTTTTACTTTGATTCCTTCGCTCTAAATAAAATAGGTCGCTACAGATATATTTGGTTCTCCAAATTACACATTATTAGGTTTTAAAAGTTTCTTTATTAACCGATTGAATGCCTGTATATGAGACACAATAGAAAATACATTGTGTCTCGCGTGGATCCACGTTTAGGCACACGACGGGTTAAAGAAATTTTGTATTTAATTTTTCACCTATAATATTTCTTTTAACTGCAAAAATAACCTTAATAAAAACAATTAAGCTAACTTACTATTACAAAGGCTAAGAAACTATCGGCATATAAATTCTTTCTCGCTAGTATATGAACTAATTTATATAGAAAACGAGTAGACTATGTGGTAAAGTATTTTCTTTCGTATCGTAACTGCTATAGAGTTGATAATCAGACAAAATTAAATGAAGTTAGCATCGAATTCTATGTTGTAGGTAGATGAACACGCTGTTAATATTTCCTTTAACACTTTAACTTCTATCTGCGTCTGTGTTCCTGGTACACAATTATATTTATTAGTAGTAAGTTAGTGAATAAGATGTATGAAAATAAGCCACAATAGTTAATACACCTTTTTGTCGATTTATAAAATGAGATGGATGCCTGATTATCAAAATTAGTTTTGTAGTCTATGCAAGTTAAAATAAAATCATCACAGCGTTTCTTAAATTTAACTAACTATGTGCTAAAATACAATTATCGATTTAAGGAACACAGGCAAACTATTGTCTGTTATACTATAAATTTATTGAAAATTTCTTTTAGGATAGACCTCCTAAAACGACTATTAACCTAGTACTCTAGTAGTTCTAGAGCTCGTACGACGCAATGACTGTTTCTATTGTTAGACCTAACTAACACAAATTATAGACGAATAAATTGTTTTACAATGCGAATCTTGAGTTTTATTAACTTTAACCCAACAAATGTATCTCTGAGAACAAAATATGAAATAGAATTCAACTTTTATTCTTCGAAGTAGTTAGAGATGCACATTATAAATGCAATGCATAATATTATTATATCATACACTAGCTATTAACACTGAATAAATAAACGAGTGCGGTCCAGCACTCGCGCGCTCTGCGATCGGTTGACTGAATCGCCCGATTTAGAGTTGCGAATAATAGTTCAATAAGATGAAAAGAGAGATACGTATCTTTCTCGTCCTACGAACTATATCTATCATCTAGTTCCTTCGATCAACAATAGCAACTAGATAAAGGGTTACGTACAAAATCAAGCTCCAGTTCTGTCCGTGTGAATAATAATAGTAAAACGATAACAAACAGAGAAAAATGTTTTAAAATAGTTTTAAGTTCAACCTAATAACAACCATGGCACCTAATAATAAAGTCATAAATCGTCAAAATATTATCTAATACTTACGACCATTCGTCATATAAGACGAGAAAAACATTTTCTTACTCCTGTCATGTAAAAATTAAAAGACATAAGTTATTTAATATCTAGTTTGAATACAACCTTAAGCTAGAACAAATAAAGATAATTTTTCCGGTATTACCTTGCGATGTTATATCGTTTTGTTTTGTTTCGTTTTGGTTTTTCGAATTTCGAATTTCGCTACAGGAGGTATGTATGGAGTAGCGTTGAACACTAAAATAATTTTATAAATTATGAAAATTAATATTTCGGGATCTTAGTATACATCACTTATTTTTATAAGCGGTACGTTTTTGTGTACGATATGTTTATTTGCTTTATTATTAAAAGTTTAAGTCTCAATCAAAATCATTTATTTCAGTTAGACCACGAAGGCACTTTTGAACGTCAATAATATAAATTTAAAAGTGAACTATTTGCTCATTCCAAGGTGTAGATTCCTATGGAGAGGAACGAGCAAGAAACTCCATAGGTTAGGTACTCTTTTCCAATCAGGTTACAATACAATTTTATTTTACAATACAAATCGACTCCATGCATCCACTGTTCTGTTTAAACAAATGTTTGTGCGCGTGTTGGCGATGCTTGGCCAAGGCGTCGCCAACATACGCACAAACATTGGTGGTGTTGTTTTATAATTGGTAATTTTGTCTAATTTGATATTATTTACTAGTTTAAAAGCTTAAAATATAACGTATACTTTATGGACATATCGTAAGTAAGACACTCCGGCCGTTATAGTGCTTTTTCGGTTATTATTTTTGCAAATTGCAATTACGCACTGCGGCATCGTAAGACGTGAGCACGTTGGCCGTGTTTGGAGCATACTAAACAAAATAAGAGCTCACTTCTCAAGTGAGCTCTTATTTGT